TCACGTATGGACATGTAAGGTCCACATGCGATGCCGGAGCACCCTGGACGATCGAGCTGGTACGTCGTTGGCGGGGACGCGATGGGCATGCATTCTGCACGCGGGGATTAGAGGACGTTACAAAACAAAAATAAATAAACTGGCGTACCCGTCATTCCGTATGATGGAAGAACGACAGCGCCGTTGAACGTTTCCTTGAGCTGTATAGCGAGCGCGGGGAGAAGCCCGCCCGCAGCATTGCAGATCATGCGAATCCGCGTGTCTTTCGAGGGGACGATATCGGAAGGTTGCGCGGACAGGATGGCGTGGTGCATCGTGGGCGCCGCGTAATACCTGTACAACATCAGCAATTTTCGAAGGTCAAAGATACGACGCTCTTACCATGTCGCTCCAAGACCAGTCGCAAGTTCCCAGAAGGCGTTGGCGTCGAACCCGGAGGCGATGATCGCGCTGCCTCCTGACATCATAGGCGCGAAGAGATTCCGGACGATACCGCCAACGTGGAAAAGAGGCATCATGTTCATGTTGACGTCGGACTCGCGCAGGTCCCAGGACTTGACGACGGCCAACGTGCCGATAATGATTGATCGGAGCGCATAACTGAAAAACGTTGAGAAAATAGACAATGACAATGCAAATAACGACTCACGGGACGACCTTCTTCTTTCCGCTCGTTCCAGAGGTATGAAGGACCAGAGACTGATCGTAGAGGCCGTGCGGCTTGGAGGGCGGTAACGTCACGCCGAACGAGCCATCCGCGTTGTCGACGACCATATCGAAGAGGCCCACCGGCCCCCCGAGATGGTGTTCGACGTAGATGATTTCGCACCCGAGGTGCTCGCGCAGCTCGCGCAGCTCGAGACGCTCGGCCGCATCGCGCGTGGTCACCACGGCGCGGACACCCAGTCGTTCTGCGTCTTCCCGAAGCTCGGCAGCCGTGCAGCTGGCGTTAACGGGCGCGCAGGTGTGATATGTCGCCAGAGCGATGAGGGCGACGGCGTTCTCGCACCCGGTGGGGAGCGCGATCATCACGCGGTCGTTGGGGCCCAGGCGCTTCGAAGGGTCGGAGACGGGGAGCGCGAAGTGCGAGACGAACTCGCGGAGGTCGGCGTGGGTGAGAGGGGGTCGCTGGGGGTCGGGATACCATAGCGCAGGCTGAGATGTGGACGGTAGGCAGTCGAGGAAGGTCTCGACGCGTCCGGCGTCGGTGACGAGTTCGGCGAGTTGGTCTCCGAGGGAGATACCGGACGGAGGCGCAGGGAGAGAGTGGATGAAGGCTAGAGGAACGGACATGATGTGTTTCGGCTTGAGGGGGAATAATGTGAATCCAATCGTAGGACATATTCAGACTTAAGTACAGACAAAGGCTAGGGGTTCGGCTGGAATGCGCGAATTGGAGCGACCGTCGGATACGATTGGCATGTCACGATATCTGTGTGACAAGAACGCGGAATGAGGAATTGGAGGGACCGTCGGATACGATTCGTATGTCCCGATCGCTGTATGACAAGAAAGCGGAACGCGGAATTGGGGCCTCCGTCGGATACGATTGGTATGTCACAAACACTGTGTGACAAGAAAGCGGTATGAGGAATTGGGGCCTCACTCCTTTTCCAGGCCAACCGCTCTGGGGTCGCTCGGACGAGTTTGTGAGGGCTGGACTACCCCACGCCGCGACGCAGAGCGAGCGTTCGATAAGCAGATCCCAAAGAGTAATGTGCCGTCCGTGCCTGCCCATCCGGACACCCTTGCGCGATCGCCAAAATTCGGGTCCAAACAAAGTCCGGCGGAGTATCTGTCCAGCTTTCGCGCGGATGGAAGACTGTCATCCCCGAGACGATGCTCACAAAGGCAACATCCGCTCGACGCATCTCGGTCTGGCACAGCTTTTCCAAGGGACCTAAACCATGCTGCCGGGGGCTTCGATATGTGGTGCAGATCGATTGTTGTGGCGCGTGCGGGAATGCACATAAACGGACGCAAAGCGGACCGGAAAGGAAACGTCGGTGGAGGGCGTCCTTCTGCGGCGGGCCAGCGGGAGCAGTGATCATGGCGATGCAGTGGCGGAATCGGAGAGATCGGCGGTCACGTCGCGTGCTTTCGACGGTGGATGCCGGAGGACGAGGAGGAGTGGGGAACCGGATGCGAGGCGGTATTCGTTGGCGAAACATGCACTGTTCCCGGGCAGTCCGTCATTGACCCCTTATGACACTGGGGTTGTCGTCGTACTATCCGCACTCGGCATCTGCAAATGCATGGGAACTTCGCGGAGAGGATTAGCTTCCTTATCCACACCACAGCAGCGCTAAACTCCTTACAGACGCTCATGCCGCATTGCGGTCGATCGTGCAAAGAGCAATAGGGGTACGGAAGAACATCGCCCCAAAGTAGCCAAGGCACGGAAGTGTGTAAGGTCGGTGTGTCACTGGGCTCCCTTGCACATTCGCCCTCTTTCGTTCTCTTCCGCCCCGGGACGGGGGGTACGCGCCTCCGAGGCGGGGCCCGGATAGCGCATGCAGTGTACAGTACCTTTTGGCTTGCTCGAAACGGGATACCCGCGCCCGCTATCTTTTGGCGGTCGAGAGCAGGTCGAGAACAAAGATCAGAGTGAAACTGCGGGCGCGCGCATACGGTTATCTGGCCGACACAATAGGACCAGTATGGAGCAGTATGGGGGGCGGAATGATTGTTTTGTTCCGCGCACCTCCACGCTTCCGCTGAGGAATTACCGCAGCCCGCGTGGCAAAATACCCACAGTCACAGGCGTGATCCCACGGTAAGTACAGAGTCAGCCGGGCCGCTCGCGCGCTCCACAGCGCCGAACACTGCGCTCAACAGCGCCGCCGCCGCGCTCAACAGCACCGTGGCCATGCTTAACAGCGCCGCCCCCCCGCTCAACAGCGCCGTGGCCACCGCGCTGAACAGCGCCCCCACGACACCGCGCCCCACAGCGCCGAACACGAACAGCGCCGCCAACGCCGCGCTCGACGGCACCGGGCTCGACATGGCGGATTTTCGTCTTGTATATACAGTTGAACAGCTGGCGATTCTGATTTTTTTTTTCAGTGTCTACCTGCGCTGCCGCACGCACATGCGACAAAGATGGCCGACGACGGGACTGCGCGGATGGCGTATGCACATGGCAATCTGACTGTTGATATCTGTTGATTCGCATTTTGACTGATCGTTGATCAATATGATTGGGTTGTAGATCCGGGAAGGTATGTACGATACGCCGAAGTTCGATTGGAGAGCAAGGACCAGGTCAAAGCGCACATACTAGCAATGCATCGTACTGCGTATGTGTACGTTTGTGTACTATTGGTGTAATCGCAGGTAGAAGCTGAGAAGGCTTGGACACCCGCGCGTGCCTGAAGGTGCGAGCCGGACCTACGTTAGTTCCGAGGCTCTCGAGCTGCGAGAACGGATGAGGTAGCATTATCCGGAGAGCTGGCTATTCCTGCGTAGAGTTCAATATAGACGGCGCTTCGCCGTACAGCATGATGTCTTGTATGTAGCTTGTCTGCCCGTTCCAGCCGGCTCGGAGTCCGGAGCCAAGGGAGGAGCAAAGTATGGACGCACGTGCGCGTTCTCTGTATCGTTTTGGTCCGCGCACTGCCATCATTTTTTGATTTTGGGAGAGGCGCTCCCACCGAGCGAGATAAGAACGGGAAGGGGGGAGGGCAGAAAGACCCACCTGCGTTCTGTTTCCGTCTGCATCGGTGTCTTTCCCTCTTGCTCGTATACGACGCGCAACGACCATCGGACCTTGACCAGGACCAGTCCTTGTGCTGCAAAGATGTCGATGTTCAAGCTGAACAAGCCGCTGTCGCAGGTCTCGCTCATCTTCGCGTGCGGGACCGCGCTGTTCTCGGACGGGTACGCGAACAACATCATCGGGAGCGGTGAGTAGCCAAGCGTTTTCGAGCTTCTCCGACGTGCAGTGAGCTCACGGGATGAATTGTTGTGGCGGGATAGTCACCACTTGTGAGTAACCCGTTCAAGGACCCTTCTAAATGCATGGGCTTCTCTGAACTGCACCTGTGCTAGGCATGAGGCGAACCTATGGCGCGGACAGGGTCAACGCGCACTCCTTCCCGACCGTGTTGTCGTCCCTCACGTTCGCGGGCACGGTCGTCGGCATGCTCACCTTTGGCTACCTTTCCGACAAGATGGGCCGTAAATTTGGCATGGTACGTCCCCTCTGCCTCCTCGTAATCCAGCGTACGTACGCTCAACGAAATGCTTTCTCCGCCTCTGTGTTTCAGATGACCGCGACGGGCATCGTCGCCTTCTTCTCCGCGCTCTCCGCCGGCTCGAGCGGCACCAATTTGCACGGGCTAGTCGCCATGCTCGCTGTCTGTCGTTTCTTCCTCGGTATCGGCGTCGGCGCGGAGTACCCTTGCGGGTCCGTCGCGGCGAGCGAACAGAGCGAGGAACCCGGGATCGCGAAGAACGCGCAGCACCGCTGGTTCGCGCTCGCGACGAACACGATGATCGACGTTGGTTTCGTCGTCGGCGCCTTCGTCCCGCTCGTGCTCTGGTGGATCTTCGGCGACAACCACCTCCGCGCGGTGTGGAGGCTCTCGCTCGGGCTCGGCGTCATCCCAGCGCTTGCGGTGTTCGTGTGGTACGTGCTTCCTGCGTGCATAAGTGCATATATGTGTCGGGAGATCTGAACTGGATTGTGTATGGAACAGGCGTCTGCGGATGGAGGAGCCCACGCGCTACAAGGAGAGCTCGATCACGCGCGGTCGCATCCCGTACTTCCTCATCCTCAAGCGCTACTGGAAGGGCCTTCTCGGCGTCTGCATCTCCTGGTTCCTGTACGACTTTATCGTCTACCCCTTTGGCCTCTACTCGTCCACCATCACCGACAACATTACCGGCGGCGACTCCCGGCTCAGCGTCGTCTTCGGTTGGTCTGTCGTCATCAAGTACGTATCCTCTCGTTAGTCTCTTCCTTCTCTCTCCCCTCACGCATCTTCTTTGTCAGCTTGTTCTACATTCCGGGCACCGTCGGCGGCGCGTTCCTCGTTGACTACCTGGGCCCGAAGAACACGATGATCTTCGGGCTCATCATGCAGGCCATCATCGGCTTCATCATGAGCGGCGCCTACCAAGCGCTCACCAAGCACATCGCCGCCTTCGCCGTCGTCTACGGCATCTTCCTCTCCTTCGGCGAGGTCGGCCCCGGTAACTGCCTCGGCATGCTCGCGGCGAAGTCGGGCCCGACCGCCGTCCGTGGCCAATACTATGGCTTCGCCGCTGCCGTGGGCAAGATCGGCGCGTTCGTCGGGACGTGGGGTACGTTTCCTTCTATCCTTTGCAGCCACTCCTCTCCTCCGCCCTTCACTCACTCACCTTCATCTTGGCAGTGTTCCCCCCCATGATCAAGGCCTTCGGCGGCTCGGGCACCGCGCGCGGCAATACCGGCCCCTTCTGGGTCGGCTCCGGCCTCGCGATCTTCTCCGCCCTCGTCGTGTTCTTCCTCATCAAGCCGCTCACGCACGACGGCATGGTTGCCGAGGACATCGCGTTCCGCGAGTACCTCGAGGCGCACGGGTACGACACCTCGCTCATGGGTCTCGGCGGCTCGTCCGACTCGCTCGCGCCCCAGTCCGACGCGCCGTCGATCGTGGACGAGAAGGCGGCGCCGGAGAAGGTGTCGGAGAAGGCGGTTTGAGCGAGCGGGGGCGTCCGCACGCATACCCAGGCGTCAAAAAAAACTGATTATTTAAGTAATGTTGTAATGACGGTCACGTCTTTCTTGCTACGGATGGTAGATCGGTGTTGTGTTATAATTTCATGCTGTGCGCTCGAGCAATATAGCGACGTATGCTCGTCATCTTACGAACGTCTGGGCGGTTCCTGCATCGTGCGATGATTCTACACGGAATTTCAGGAAGGAGAGCCTTAAAATAGCCGTTCAGCGCTTCCATGATCCACCTTGACGAGCGCTGGTGGAACACGAGGACCGTTGGGACTGCAGCTACATTAACCATTTGGTCGAATGCGACAGGTTTCTGATAGGAAAGAAGGAATTCAGGCAGAGGAGAATACGACGTGCTTTCCAGGGCAAAAAGAGTACAGCTTGCGACAGAGATACGAACGGAAACGTGGTTCGATTCGTTATGTCTGCATCGCATCTCCGCCCTTCCCAGTTTTCGCCAGTTCGTTGCTGAGGAGAAAGGTTTGTTGAGGCTCTCTTTGTAAGCGTGCGTGCGGGTCCGACAACGTACCGTAGCTGCATGCTGAACTCGTCCTCGATGTCGTCGTCGTCCCAGTTGTCCTCCCAGAGCTTGTTGCCGCCCGACTGCGCGGCACCTGGAGCGGCACCGCCAAGGTGCTTCAAATCTGTCTCCGAGTCGTCCCAGTCTATCGATTAGGCGGTGATCAATATGGCGATGGACTTGCAGCTGAGTTATGGGGAGGGGCCGACCTTGTACAGGGAACTCCTCAAACTCGTCGTCCTCTTCCAATACGCCGAGAGTGGGCGGGGCATTCTGTTCTTTGTTGGATTCCTCTAGCGCGGCAGCGTCTGTCTTTGCTTTGGATGTGGATGCGTCGGAGGACATGATGCGATGGGGCGAGATGGAACGCGTCCGAGGAGGGACGCGTACGCGCTGCTTTTGGCTGTTCAGTCAGGTGACGTATTCTACTTCATAATATAAGTACTTGACTGTATATTATGAAAGGCCTCTTTCCCCACTACTGTGCCGTAGCGATGGCCTGGAACGGGTATATTCGGGACATCAATGAGTGGTCTCAACCTCAGCCTTTTCTGGGATCTATCTCTCTACAGTGTCTTTGGTACCGGTCATCTTCGGGTGTGCTTTCAGTCGTCGGGGTACGGGCCTTGCCACTGGTTGTTCGACAGTCCGAGTTCTTGGTGCGCTTGGACAAAGCGTCGTGTGGCCGTGATACATCGAAACAGGGCTCGGAAGGATCTTGTGTTCGATAATAAGAAACTGATGTTAGTCACTCGTACTCCAATTTCTCTCTGCATTATCCGCCTGTAAGGTTGTACTCAAGGTTGAAAAGTAAACATCTAGACTCTTCGCATGCTTCGAAGTTGTCCTGCTCTCATTGTTGGCCTGCAGACGTTGCTTGTGGTTTTATCTATCTAAGTCGGTGCCTATATCTGCCATCGGAGTCATAGGGCTATCGAAGCTGTGTATCCGATGATGGTCGCGCTATAAAGCCAATACGGGCAGCGAAGATCGCCAAGTACACCACCCAAATACCTCAACGTGTCTCTCTACATGCTGAGCCACGCCGACAGAGTTGCAGCGCGCATCAAGGTCGCCCATGAAAACATCACCCACCACTTTCCCGAACTTATACCCTCTCTCGCGATACCCTTCCACCGCGCCGCATACTACCCTACCCTACTGCCCACCACCGAGCCCGTGAAGCTCAAGCACGCGACCCGATTCTACGTCGCACAGCAGGACACGCTCACCTGCGCCAAGGCACTCGTGCGCGCTCACGGGAGCGACAAGGTTGCGGTGCTCAACATGGCGAATCACAAGCAGCCCGGCGGCGGGTTCCTCACCGGCGCTGGCGCGCAGGAGGAGGCCATGTGTCGCCGCAGCACGCTCTTCCTGCACCTTACGCAGACGCAGGGAACGCTGGGCAAGATGTACCCGTTTCCGAAGCACGTATCCGCCATCTGGACGCCGGGCGTTCGCGTGTTCAGGGACGAGGGCGCGGCGCACTATAACGTGTGGCCGGATCACCAGCGGTTTGACGTCGCGGTCATCACCGCAGCGGCGGTGCAGAACCCCCCTCTAGATCGCACCGGTCAAGAGTTCAAGTATGTGGCAGACGTTCAGCGCACGAGGGTCAAGATGGCTCAAATAGTGGGTGCTCTTGGTGTTCGATCAGTGAGGCACGTTTACTGACGGCCTTTTCGTTGGCAGCTGCGCATCGCCAAAGCTCAGGGGATCACGCATCTTGTCCTCGGTGCTTTCGGATGCGGCGCGTTCGGCAATCCCCCACCTGCCATAGCAAAGCTGTGGTGGGAGGCGCTCTTTCAACCTGACGTTCGTGGCGCTTTCACGGAAGTCTGGTTTGCGGTCATCGATGTAAGCACCAGCTGCACGTCCAGAAAGATGCATTCTGATATGTGGTAATGAAATATAGAAGAGCGGGAGTAGTAATTATCCCATATTTCACGCCATGTTCCATGGCAAGGTGGATTCGGGTCTTTGATTAACATCGCTTGTGACTAGGGACGTAGGCGCGTGTGTATTCGCCTTCGACTGTATGCTTGCATTTGTATCATCTAGCGCCGAAGCCGTTGGAGGAACTTCAGACTGATACCCTGCCGCGTTGTTACAGCCACAGGAATCCGACTTGACGAAGGTTCCTGCGTTTCGCGCACTACTTCTGTCCATCTGTACTCCCGTCCATGTGCACGATTAAATGCATCTGTGGGCCCAGGATCAACCTATGTTCAAAATGGAAATCTTACACAGAGCAAAACAGGAGGTTGTGAAGGACGTTCGTTCTAAATATATTTTCGCAACGCAACCATCCCTGATCCGGCTAGAGCTCGAGATGGTTGAGTACAGATGCAGAGAAGGCGAACGAGCCCGATGTGATTCGCCAGCCCCAACCGCATGTGATTACCGCTCACGATGATGTCAACCGGCCTCTGCGAGAATCCGGTGGCTTGCGCTCGGATCCTAATTTGTATACCCCAGAGCACTTCGTCTTTAGCCTCCGCATACCACCTTTGCACAGGAACTGTTGCGTCTTGATATCCTTTGGCCAATCGTGACGATGGGCAAGCAACCGGAGAGCGAGAGCCTCACTGTGCGCGATAACCGCACAGGCAAAACGTACAATGTCCCGTAAGTTTCAGTCTTGTCTCATCGAGCATGGCCATGGTATGTCGAGGAACTGGCGGTAATGGTGTGGTTGTAGGATCGTGAACAACACGGTGTCGGCTTCGGCCTTCAAGTCGATGTCGGCGCCCAAGAAGGAGGGCGAGCGCGATGAGAATGATACAGAGAAGGGTCTTCGGGTGCTGGACAAGGGATTCATGAACACTGCTGTGATCCAGAGCGAGATCACGTATATTGACGGAGACGCCGGCGGTATGTGGAATACACTCAAAAACCAGGCGATTGTTACTGAGCTTTCGCGAGCAGTACTTCGATACCGGTATGCACCCCGAAGACATGAGTATGCGCGCAGAGACGCTGAAGCGCGTTTGCTCCCAGCGGATACCCAATCGAACAACTTGCGCTCCACTCCAGCTTCCTCGAGACGGCATATCTCCTCATCTATGGTTCTTTGCCCAGCAAGAGACAACTTCATACCTTCGAAACCGAGGTGATGCATCACAGCGGTGCTCACTCGGACGCGGAGGACTTCTTCCGTTCCTTCCGGTGCGGCTTCCGCTTCCGCCAGAGCATGCAGCGTTACCGATTATCTCGTTGCCAGATATGATGCGCATCCAATGGCAATCTTGACGTCTGCGTTCTCGTACCTCGGCTCATACTACAGCGAAGCTAATCCATCCCTACAAGGCGAGGGGCACATAGTTCATCGCATCGACGTCCTAGCTAACGTCAACATCGTCTACAGGACAAACCTTGTTCACGAAGCGGGACCCAGCATCAATTTCCAATATGGACAAGCAGATCTATAGGCTGATTGGCAAAGCCACTACATTCGCTGCGTACGTCATGCCCATGATTTGTATCTTTTGTGTGCGCAGCTCACGTTCTGCGTAGGATGGCATATCGTGTTCGTCAGGGCCGGGACTTTGTGACCCCTCCTACAGGATTCAGTTATACCGGCGCGTGAGTCGCAACAAGCCGCGTTTGTACCTGTCATGTCTCATTGTGTTCAAGCTTTCTGTACCAAATGGATCACCTAGGCGAAGAGAACTACGTCCCGAATCCAGTCCTCGAGAAGGCGCTCGACATTTTGTTCATCCTCCACGCTGACCACGAGTTGAACGCCTCATGTCAGTTCATCTCCGACCCCTTACACTGGTTCTCCGAGTATCCCCCCACGGTGTTGCTGAGATTACGCTGCTTTCTGTCTGCCAGGTACAACTGTCCTTCAGACGGGTTCCTCTCTTGTCGACCCATACTCTGCCATTGCTGCCGGTTGTGCTTCGCTTTATGGCCCACTACACGGTGGCGCCAATGAAGCCGTCATTCGCATGTTGATCTCCATCGGCAAGCCTGAGAACGTACCCGCGTTCATTGAGGCGGTCAAGAGGAGGGAGAAGGTGTTGTCAGGGTTTGGTCATCGGTAATGCTTTTTTTGGTTATTATCAGGCTACCCGTGTTTCATTAATGGTCATTCTCTTCTTTTAGAGTATATAAGACGGTAAGAAGCCTACCGAACTGCACGCGTTGTAACTGTCGTTGATGTGCGTGTAGTCCGACCCCAGGTCTTTCATCGTGCGTCGGACGGCGGACGAAGTCTTCAAGGTGTCAGTACTTTCCCCGTCTCTGCTTGTGGGTGGATGACTGTACTCAAGCGAACTTGCCAGCACGGGGAAAGATGAGCTCCTGGAGACTGCGATGGCATTACATGACGCAGCCATGAAAGATGAATTCTTTATCAAGAGGAAGCTCGCACCGAACGTGGACTTCTGGAGCGGCCTGATCTACCGTGCAATGGGTTTGTGGTACCTGTGATAATTCCCAACATACACGCTCATATGAATGCTAGGTTTCCCGCTCGACTTCTTCCCAGTGCTTTTCGTCGTCCCGCGCGTGGTGGGATGGATCGCGCACTGGCGACAGGTGCGCGTTGTCTCGGAGATGAACGACCTTGGGACGTCCTGACCAAAGTCGCGTGTATTCACAGATGATGCTGCAAGAAGGCGGGGTGAAGATATGGCGACCGCGCCAGGTACGCCCGTCATCCATTTGAAGGTTAATCGAACCCTAACACGACGTAAAGGTGTACCTCGGTTCCGGCAAGCGCGACTACGAGCCTGTTGACAGCCGTCCGGACGCTCAGATCGCTCCCTCGCCGGTCGTGCATTCCGGGTGAGCTCAGCCGTCTCGCAGCCCGGCATTCGCGTTGACTAGGTACCGATCAGGATCACCAAGCGCACCAACCTCGCGAGCTTCAAGGGCAAGAGCAAGTTATAGTGTGCTGCTCCTCGACGCTGCCGGACGATTATCGTGCTTGTTGTCGACTTTGATGCTTTGTGCTTACCCTAACATGAACCTGGCAATAATGCATTGTTGTGCGCGCTGTCGACGACAGGCCGGTCGCCGCTTGGCGACCCTACGCGTGATTGACTTGATGATCATTATCATTGTTGCCATATAAAGGCGGCGTGGGCGTGGCGGAGTCCGAATAAGCGAGACGGCCCTTTACGGTCTCACAACCCCGTCCCGGTTTCCAGTCTCTTCTTTCACCTCCGTCCTCGACGACTGTACCTGCCCCGGCTCCCTCCCTCTTCCTCTCATCCACCCCCACCGTCTCTCCGTCGAAGATGTACACCACACTCGTTTCCACCGCCGCTCTCGTTTTCACGCTCGCTGTCTCTGCCGTCTCTGCGGAGTTCACCGTTAGCACCCCTCAGCTCAACCAGGTCGGTCCCACGTTTTCCGCGACGGGAGGAATAGTTGGTTGTTGACACGCGCTTCTCGTAGTGCGGTAGCGCCCAGATCACCTGGTCCGATGGCAAGGGACCCTACAACTTGGTCGTTGTTCCTGCTGTGAGTCGTTCATTCGGATCTTGTGTGGTCGCGTGAGACTGACGCGCTGCGCACCCTCCAGGAGGACCCTTGCGGCGACATTCTGTGCGTTCAATTTTTTTGTCCCCGCCAGGCGCGGATTCTGACGTGGTCTTGCAGCGCCGACCTCGGAGACCACAGCGGTGCTTCCATGACCTGGAAGAACATTAACTTTGCCGCCGGCACGAAAGTCATGCTCTCCCTCGAGGACGACAACGAGGATGAGGCTTGGTCGGGCGAGGTATGTTTTTCGCATTCGGAGAATGCGTGTTCGGCGTACTCATTCGGTTTCAGATTACCATTGGCGCCAGCGACGACGCGTCCTGCCTCGCTGTTGCCTCGTCGGCCTCGGGCTCTGCATCCGTCGCGAGCTCCTCTACCGCCTCGTCCGACAGTGCGCGCACCACGTGAGTCGCCAGATAATGCAGCTGTACTCTAGGGTGAAATTGAACACTCCCGTTTTGCCAGTCTCGTCGTTGGCGCCCAGCCCACCCACGCTGTCGCCTCGACCGCGGCAGCGGCCACCACCTCCCTCGCCGTCGCCGGTGCCGTTGGCAACAGCGGTTCTGACCCGCTCTCCTCCGGTGCGCTCTCGATGCGCCAGCTCAGCACCCCCGTCGCGGCCTTCGGCGTGATCGCCGCTGCGCTCGTCTTCGCGCTCTGAATATACCCTCTCTTTATCCTTCTTTAACGAGATCGCCCCATTTTGTGTGTGAATAGGGGTGTGTGCTGGCACACGGTGGCGGTCTCGGGTTCCGTTGTTTTTTTGCTGCTGTTCCTCGCTTTTATTACCTATTCCGCGCACAGATGTGCGCTCCGCTGATTGCTGTTGCGCAACCACCGTTGCCGGTCCGAGACTCGGCCTTGTTCATACTTGACAATTAGGGTGGAACGGCTGGGAGCCTTGGATCTGGTCTTCAATGCTCGACTCGATTCGCGATACCACACCCGTTGTTGTTACCATTATCTGAAAGTTGAAATATTTGGTCTGGAGTCTGCGCTGTTCCAGTGCTATAGTTGCCTCTGTATAGCCAAGCCACAACAATATACAGTCTGCGTCCTGCGATCTTTCTGCGATCTGTTTCCATTCGCGTTCGCGGTCAGTCCCTCGTCTTGCTCCTACCATCATGACGGAACCCGAGTGGCACACAGTGTGAGATGAGATATCTCCGTCTCGTGTTCATGACTTCTGATTAGAAGATGAAGCTCGGCTAGAATTCCGTTTCTTACGCCCGAGCATGCGCGGATAGCCAAGCAGGTCATCGAAGTGGATGCGGAGCTGCAGCCGCACGCAGTAAAACGAACCTTAGCGGTCGAGGACAACGAGCTCGTGGCGTTGGTTTTTTCCCCTCGAGATCGCCCCAAAAAAATCCCATCTAATCTAGCATCGGGGTGTAGGACTTTCAACACGTTGACGGTCCGATTAGCACGTCTCACGTTGAACGCGTTCCTCGAGAACGTCGATCTGGTCATACGGACAATAGGGGAGTTCGGTGAGGAGGCGGCGCGCGGTCCCCCTCCAAAGCCGTAGATATATAGCTATAGGGCTACACTGCATGCTACAAATATAACGCAGCAGTCCTACAGCAGCATCGGGTGTACAATTTGCGATTTCATTGACTTCAGCGTCCGTCGTTGCGCCCTGAGGTTCCTGGATCATATTTTTGTCGTTTATTTAGCCTCGCCCTCCGCAGCTTTCTTCTTCTTGTCCTTCTTCGACTCGCGAAGAGGCTTCGTCAGGAGCTCCTTGAGTTCCTCATCTTGCAGCTCCTTCTCGGTCTTCACCAGCTCCGGCTTGTACCAGACTGGAGGGTGGGTGAGTAGCGAAGGTCCACCGGCGAGGAGCGCGATAGTGAAGTGGAAGGCAGCCACGAAAGTTCCGGCAGGCGTGTAGCTAGCAAGTCAAAGTTGTTAGGGTGGTATTCCCTGGCAGGAAAATCCCGGTACGAACATGACTTCGTATGGCTTGACTAAGCTGTGCTGCACGGCCTCCTGAAGACCGAGACGCGCCCGCTTCTCGTCTTCCAGCGCGCGGATGTTGAAGGGGAAGGCACCGGCCTTCTTTTGCACGTCGGAGAATACGGCACGCGAAGTCTTCATCTTCAACTGGTAAGTGACCGTCGAGTCCCGCTGATACACGGTGGTCCTAGACTCTTCGATGCGAGCCTGCGACGCGATTAGTACCAGATAATAGAATCGGACTGTGAAGAACGCACCTTGCCATCCTCCCCGGTCGAGATGAGAATGTCCATCCCGTACACTTCGCCCTCCGCGAACGTAACAGTCTCAAACTCCTGCTTTTGCTGCGCAGTGGGGTTCAGGATAATGCGCTTCTTGCCGTCAATCACGTTTTGCGTTTGTTGACACGAGAGCATGCCTACGACCAAGTCCGCATTAGCGATCGGACACTTGGGACACCACCAAATGGAATGGAGTGGAATTATCGCTAACGTACCTTCTACCGGCTTGCAATCCCAAGCAGAGGCGACTTTGGCGACAGCATCGGTCACCGTCCAGTTTTTGTTTCCAACCTTGATCAACCGCATGGCGGCCTCGGCGGCGGTCCATGCAGCTTTCAGCGCATCAGCCTTCCGTCCGGTGACAGGGTTTTCAGGCGTAGCGCCAACGACTAGAGTCTCCGCGCTGATGGCAGCGAATCCATCGATGTGAGCACCCAGGTGAATCTTCACAACGTCGTCTTTCGCGAGTGTCTGTTCAGACAACGGATCGGAGCTGTAAGATATGCCGATCAGTCGAGATAGCATTAGGACGGCGCGGTGCGACGTACGCCAGGGGCGAAAAATGCGCGACGGCGTTGTTGACCGAGACGCAGGTGGGGAACGCGAGGCCTGGCGGTCATAATACGTAAAGATCTGTACGCAGAGTCCGGGGTTGCCCACGATCATCAACGGCGTACCTTTGCTGACCTTGACGCCCTTCACCGATTTGTTGTAGACGGCGCTGCAACCCTCCTCAATCAATTTGTCGCCCTCCACGCAGATGTCGAGGATTTTCGCGCCCTCCACGCAGAGCGGGATCAATTTTTTGACGACATTGTTCACGATGTCTGCGGCTCCCTGTTGCACGAATGGACAGGACGTAGCGCCCCGGTCAGCTATAGTGGATCTGTAGACCGTAGGGCGTTTGGCCATCGGAACTCGGGGAACTTGCCTTGTACTTGGTAATGTCGGCCTCAGCGATGGGCTTCTTGTCCTCGACCTTGGGAGCTGCTCCTTCAGCGGACATGGTGTTTACGGTGTGATGAGGGGACGAGTCGACGAATTGGGATGAGGACAGGAGAACGGCAGCACTTCAACTGAAGATTTCAAATCTATGATGTTATGTTGATCTGGTCCCATCGGATTAGATATATACCTCGCACCTTACTGTGATCTAACGAAGTCAATCCAGCGTTGGCAATCGGGATGGAGTTCAATAAATAGTGTCTGAATTACATGAAGTACTACTTCTATAGAGATGCGAATATATGCAGCACTACGATTGTAACTAGATGATATATAACCCAAGCCACTGACATGATCCATTGGAGATGCGGATGTTGAGAACACAGGGGATGAGGGGAAGGGCTTGCAAGGAGGTCCGCCAAGTAGAACTTGTAGTAGAATATGTGCCCTGGAGCATGCAACCAAACGAGAAAGCTATATTTGTAGAAGATCGCCCATCACATTGGTGGTTGGTTGTCGGCTTTCCATCCGACGAAGCACCTCATGCGACGACAAATATCCTGACCAGGTTGGCGCTCGAAGCCCTCCGTGTGCGGAAGGTTTTCCCTCCACACGCGCCAACCTGGGTCCCCGCCGACCTGGGGCTCGGGCCATTTAAACTGCTCGAGAAGCCGGCGCGGCTGAATGCGGTCCTCCATATCGCTGCGGCGCACGCGATGTCAGCGTAGAGTTGACATAATCTGAATGATATAGGAGACGCACTGTCGCCAATTGGAAAAATAGAGCTCGAATTCTTCTTGCAGCGTTTGCGCTTGATCGTGCTCGTCAAGGATTCGAGGAGCATCCGCGAATAACCGTTCATATTGCTCCCAAAGAACTTCCTTGCACTCGACGATGATCTGCACCGTTCGTGCGAGCATCATAGGGGCCCACTGTTGAATGAGCGACTTGCTAGACTCTTGTATCGGATGTATTGGTCGTAGCTCTGCCGACGGTCGAGAAGTGCCGGGCACTGCAATAGAGTCCCTAGAGGATGTGCTTGCGCTCTGCGGCAGCGAGAGGTGCGGGGTGTTGGAGTTGGGTGGCAGCGGAACTTGCAGTAGCGGGAACGATCGGATGTCAACGAAAGTGGCGGAGAGATACAGTGGCAGTATGGTTAGCGGATTTGGGGCGATGAAGCGGCTTTCGAGGAGTTCGTCCCATGTGGCCTTCAGCATCCGGTGGTCCTGGGGGTGCGGGCGTCGAGAGCCCACTGTGCTTGACTTGCGATCATCGTACGGCGGGAGTTGATCTGTCGAGTGTCCATTCGATACGGCGGAACCCTGGTTAGCGCTAGCGTTTGACTGTGATCTGGAGCTGCGACCAAGGGAATTGTTGGACGTCGAGGCGTCCGTACGGTACGATAAATTGCCGCTAGATTCCCTGTGGGGTGTAGGGAGCTGCAGTTGCTGCGGGGAGTCCAGTACCACCGCCGATGCGGGTAAAGGGCCGGTGGGGAATATTAAATCCTCTTCAATTATCTGCACTCATGGATGGTGAGGGCCGAACGTGAGAAGAGAGGGAGCATGGGGATACCTCGAGTACGCCGCCTGGCTTTAAGATTCGGTGAATTTCCTGAAAAGGAGGCGTCAGCTATACCACACCGATAGGATGGCGTTCAGGCAAGCTCACCTCCAAGATACTCGGCCACTGTGAGGACATCAGCAGGGGTGTAACCTCGGAGATGAACTTCGTCAAGTACACGCACCTCGTCTTCAGGGACGCCAAGACCGATACCCTGGAATCGGATCATGTCGAAATGATTCGGCGCGAAAGGTAGCCGGTCCAACCTGGCGAAGCAGCGAAAAATCGCTGTGAGCGGAACGTGTGGCGGGAAACACATGGGGAAGGATGGGGCGGGACCTACATGTTCGCATGCACCCACTTTACGCGTCGCAAAACGTCGGCATGTGCGGTCTTCTCCAGCTCTTCCAGCTTGGGTTGTATGTCCTTCATGTCGAGCCCGATCAGATGGCTGTTCTGGATAATGCCAAGAATAAGGTCACGGACTGAGACCGGAACGCAACAAATTGAGTAAACTGACCGGCCATTGTTGCGCGGCCTTGATGCACCACAAGCCGCTCCCGCAACCCAAGTCGAGCACAAGCTTGGGGGGCTCTTCGAATTCGTGGATGGTCAACGTGCCGGTCAGTTTGTACATGAACCTGAAGTCGAAGTTATCGCTGAAAGGCATCGCGTGAGGTCCTCGTCCATGTCGCAGCGGCGCGCCACACGCACTAGTCGATCAGGTTCCTGCTGTAGTCCAGAGGGTACGGGATCTCGCCCGCGTCGCGCTTCCGCTTGCGACCCTGCTTGAGCAAGTCGTCTTGCACCGCGACATCCTGGCCCAGGCGATCCGTCATGGACGTTGTGAGAGCAGGAGATGGCTCATCGGGGTAGCCCCGGGGTCCGGAGGCTAATTGAGCGGAGCGGTGAACCTGTTGGTATTAGTCGCCGCCACACATTCCAGAAAAAGTGATTTCGCTAGGTTAACGTAAATATAGCTAATTTACCACGCCACCAGGGCGTTTCCCACTCGCCGACGACGGTGACCCCGACCTCACCGCGTTCCTCATCGTCCTCCATGTTACGGCGCGCGCTTGCACCGACGGGGCGCGCCTTACGCGCTGCGCGCACCTATGCTACTCCGACGGAGTACTCTCAACCGACTGTTGACCCTCAGCTAGGAGGCTACGACAACCCTCCCTACATCTCCCGACAGCGCTTACCTGCGAAGGGCTGGAACTGGGATCCCCAAATGAGGCGCAACTTTGGCGACCCGGTACGCAAGACAACCATTTGATTAGAATTATACCCAATGACCGTGCGATTGCATCCAGTTACATGAGCAAGAGGAGCTCTTGTCTATGGTTGGACCCGACGTTCCCGTGGTTGAGCCTAAGAAGGCTCTCCGGTGGTTTACTATCGCTACCCTCTCATTCGTCACCTTCGGCTTCCTCTGCAAGGATGTCTTCGTCCCCGATTTGCCAGCCGTCAGGCGAGAATATCCCTTCGACGGTTTAGTTACTGAGCTAGGCGGCTTGGAGGAAAACAAGGTATATAATGCTCTTGGTAACAGCGGATTCTGGAAACTGATGCATGCGCAATGGCTACAGGCACGGCCGGAGCAGATCAGCGAGGACGAGTAAATCATCCGTCTATCCTGTATTTCCCTACTGCAAACACCTGCAATCGTAGTTTCTCCTGTTCTCATTCGTCGCCCGTAACTGAGATGTCCTAAATATGCGAGCCTCGCGGTCCCATTGGTCCACTGCAACATGCGCACTCGGCCACTCCTTCACAGGGCTTGGAATCTATCATCATCGTGTGCTACTGTAGGTCCTGTGCATGTCACTCCTCCGGCTCCTCCGAGTTCGCCGCTTTGCGTTTGTTGACTGGTCGAGGACGAGGCCTCCGTTTCGGGGGTTCAGGTGCCGGTGCAGCGACACCTGAAGCGAAGTCATGATATTCATCTTCGTCGTCGCTCGTCCTCACCTTCCGCTTCCTCGACGTCGAAGCTCCGCCTCGGCCACGGGATTTTGCGATCTTACCCTTCGTTGCACCCCGCTTGTTTTCCGCGTTCCCTGTATTCGTCTTTCGCTTGCGTGTCTGCTGAGCAGGTTTCGCCTGAGCCCGGACCTCCCCGCTGACCGCATCAATACCCTCCGAGCCAGAGTCAGGGTCATCGCCACTGCCACCACCGGCTCTGCGCCTGGCCTGTTCGGTGCGAAACTCGGAGACAACCTGCTGGAGACGCTTGCTCGCGTACGCCTGTCGCTTCCTGGGCGCGTGGCTTCCCGTGCCGGAGATGTCCAGGAACTCGTTGAGCGTCCCTTGCTGATTACGCGCCGCCGCCTGTAATTCGATGCAACGGTAAGGGAACCGAGCAAAACGTGAAGAATCCGCCCTTGGCCCAAGAGACCCCCCTGACAACGTGGGCGGATCTGTAGAAAAGGACCCACCTGGCCGCGTTTGGTCACTTTGTGGATGATCGGAAGCAGAAGCTCGTCAACTTTCGTTTGGCCCCACCCCAACTCGTCGTACAGGAATCTGCGTGTCACACGAACGTAAGAAACCTCGGCGACCCCATACGCATTTTCTCAAGCTATCGGATGGGCGGCGTACCCGCGTAGCGCATCAAGGTCGGGAAGACCCCATTTGAATGGCTCTTCTGATTCGTCCACGGTCGGGTGATAATATGCATCCCGCTATTTGCCGATGGTCAGCACCTGGAGACGTTGCGCCATTCGATCCTGTGAGATAGAGACGGACTCACAACCGCCCCGTTCGGCCAATCGTCGTTCAGATGCAACACGTCCTTAAATCTTTTCTTCTGCATCACCAAGCACGGCCGTCAGCGCACCGAGAAACCGCAGCGGCGAGGCTGACAAAGAGCGCCGCCTAGGCCGTGCCCACACTCACGAAGCGCTTGCGGAACTTGGTGCTGGTGTCCGCCTCGCGGTCTCTGCCCATCTGCACCTTGCGCCACCAGTCCTTGAATTTGTGGAGGCCGTCTTCGCCCTGGAACTCTTTCAGGAGCTCCATGGCTACCACCGGTCCGACGCCAGGCAGGCCCTCCGTGTAATCGCTCCCCAGAAGATATGCGAGGCGGATGAGGGTATCGCGGTCCAGTCCTAGTTCACGCGCGAGGTCCGGGAGGAGAAAGCATTCGACCGTTTTGGACTGATTAAACATGTTCTTCAGCACGCGTTTACCTCCAAAAAGGAAGACGTCCGAGTCGTCGGTGATTATGCCGTCCACCAGGCCGAGCTCGTTGAGGGTCGCACATTGGGCTTCGGCTTCCATCGGCGCGGTGATGTACGGAATGCCGAAAAGTCGTAGCATGGTCTGTAGGTGTTCAGATTGAGTAAAATGACGGAGAGCTTGGGGGCTTGAGTGTTCGCCTCTCCCTCACCATGATTTGGGCCACCATCTGGTGCGTAATCTCCTCGGAGTCTCGCATCGCCGCCTTCCTTTGCTGGTTGAGAACGCGGATTTCCTCGTCGATCTCCTTCCGTACGGCGCTCAGGTCCTTGCCCTTGACCTGGGACACGAAGTTCAAGAAGTCACCTTCTTCAGCCTGCGGGTCCATCTCCTGCGCGGCGTCCCACGTTTCGTCATCCCGCGGCCGGTCCAAGGCTTCATTAGTCCCTCGCCCCGGCGATGGCGTTCTTGACCAGTGCTCGGGGTCTTCGTCATCTGACGAGTCAGCGGCGAAGGTTACATTTTTCACCTCAGAGGAAGTAGTCGATTTGACGGTTATCGAAGATGGACCAGCGATAGGATCGGACGTCTGTCTTGGTGGAGTTATTACAGGCGACAGAACTTCCGTTGGTTCGGAGTGAGAAGGTCCGGCCACTTGCGGCGCCAGTGACTGTGGCAATGGAACGGGCCGTAAAGTGCTTGAAGGAACCGACTGATCGGCTCCCACATTGAGGCGGGAAGGGGCAGCAGTTGTAGTCGGACGATAGGTTGAAGAGCCACCCTCACCAGCAGGAGGCTCCCGAGTCGATGTAATACTCTGCGACCTTGGACTAACGTCCGGTAGCGGTGTAACGTCCTCCATGTCATCTTCATCCTCCGATACGGTCACCGACTCAGGGGCCGAGGTCGCGGTCGAGATGCTAGAGACTTGCGCTGAGATCGACGGCCGTCTCTGAGACGGGACGTTATGTACCGCCGTTTCCGCAAAGCTCTGAGACGGGACGTTATGTACCGCCGTATCCGCAAAGGCCCGAGTCGGTGTTGGGACGGGTAGAACATCTTCCATGTCATCGTCGGAATCATCGAGATTGATGGTCGGAGTGGCGGTCGCGCTGGGCCCCTCGTCGAGCAGGAGAGAGGGGGTACCGAATGAGGAAGAAGTGGCCGTGTTGAGCCGTACGGTCTTCCGCGCTGACTCCTGAGCAGAGAATCGGCGTGGAGCGGCGCCTCCGATGGCGAGTGCGGTCTCCAACCGGTTAGGGGTCGCGTACAGATCGTCGTCGTCGTCGTCGTCGTCGTCGTCGCGGTGCGGCGCATTGCGAGGAGGCGAGATGTGAGCCTCTGATGAACTCGGCTTCGCTGGCGTTTGGGGCATCGCGGACGTGGAGGCTTCGATAGCGCGTTGCAACTCGAGTTCTTCGGCATCTGCAGCGGATTGTTCCAGCGCCGCTATGAGCTCCATGTCGTCGTCCTCATCCTCAGATGGTTCCAGTTGTTCAGGGGTAGCATCATCATCAGGCTCCGGCTGAAATAAAGGTTGGGGTGTTTTGGTCGCCTTCGGTCTCGGTTGTGTCCTTAAAGGAGCGAGCTTCTTCGAGGTGTCACGTCGAGCAATGGCTGTGAGCGCCTGGCCTCGTCGCAGGTCTCGCAGGTCAGGATCCATCTGAGGTGGGGCTGGTCTTGATGCAGGCAAAGAGACGGAACGCCGGTGAGGGAAAGGTCCATCATGAGCATACACGCTGCGACATACATAGGTACCGGTTCCATGTCCATATCCGAGTCTTCGTCTTCCTCCGCGTCGACGTCGCTACTAACACGGTCGTCTGGCTCGTCGGCGTCTATCTGGATCGGCTTGTCGATCGTGCCCTCGTCCCGCCTGCCTAGTATCCACCCTCCGCCCTTGTCGGCGTCGTTCTTGACGAGGACGTACTGCCTATTACGCTCGGCCGCGATCCGGACGGGGATGGTGATGTTCGCCTTGCCGATCGTGTCAGTCGTGACGAGCAGCTGCTGCGTGAGCGCGTTCCGCAGCTTCAGGTTCTTGATCTGCTCCTTGGAGAAGTCGAGCGAGGTGCGCGCGTTGCGGAGCATGCTCTGCAGGCGCTTGTACGACGTCTGGCGCGATTTGAGCCGGAGGTCGCCGATGATCTCGTACTGGACCTCCGTCGGGAGCTCGCGGAAGGCGGGCGAGGTCACGTCCAGGTCCTCGGGCCGCATCTCGTCGATGAACGCTTGGAGCTCTTCCTCCGTCGCGAGTCGCGGGTCGGGAGCGGCGGAGTTGGTCGCTTTGGCGATGGTCGCGCCCATGTCGATGTCTGGGAGGCGGTAAGGATCGTGGTCCTGCCATCGGGTCTTCTTAGAGGTGGAAGGTGGGGAGATTTGTTCGACCGTCTTGTCGGTCTGCGGCTGTTTGGCTTTCGCGGGAGTTTTGGATATCGTAGGATCTATATCTTCGAGGTAGACTGTATCTTCGTCCACGGTGATCGGTCCGGCAGGTGCCTTGCCCTTCCCTTTCGAACTGGAAGCAGCCCTGGGCAACTCGTCAGTTCATGTCCGGAGAAAAGAGGTGAAAGACGCACGCGTGCGCTTGAGCCTGGTTGACAACCTCCCTCCTCATCTGCGCAGCCAATAGCTTCTCGGCGATCTGCTGGTGACTCGCGGCCGCTCCGTTCTTCTTGTTCTTACGCTCTGTCTTGAAATGATCGGACGTGAGGCCAAGAACGCGTGGAGTATAGTCAGGAAGTGCGCACCAGAGTACTGCGCTTCAAGGCCGGAGCGCCTCCGTCGAACACGAACACGGGCTTGATCCCGTAGTACATGAGCTTGCAGATGCGGCGCAGGAAACCGACGACGTGCGCGTTGACCAGACCGCGGCCTTCTTTATCACGCATCGTGGCTTGGAACTGGTATATCCAGATACTGGAGTCGATGGCCATTGCCTTGCCCTCCATGGTCTCAAGCCTAGCGGCGACATCCGTCAAGGTCACGCTTTAGTAGCGATTAGGCGGTGGTCCTACGTACATGACGGGGCGCCCGACTGGTGTGAGGAGCTCCCATAGCGACTTGACACCCATAGTGAGCCCTGCTCAGATAGCGTTGAGTCTGGTTGGAGGTCGGGTATCGTTGGGTCGAGCACAACATCGCCGAAGACTTTGAGTCAGCCGAAGAACCCCCTCCGACGCCGGAGTCAGGGAGCGGATCACAGCCACGCTGGTGACACCTTCCTTCGTTCCGTCCGAATCCTCTTTCCCCGCATTACATACCTCCTGCTAAAGTTGCTTAATCCTGGGATCTACAGGGGCCAACGCGTTTGTAGTCGAATCGTAACAAGTTTCGCATCGGTCATCTTGGCCCTTGGGTCCTCGCGTCCGACAACGCGTCACGGAGACGGCTGAGTGTAACATATCCTAAGCACCCGGGCGACCCAACACATACTACTCATATACCTCCCACATACTATGGTTTCTACCTACATTATAAGACATTCTTCCCTGGTTGTTGCTTTCTTATGCTTGGCAACGCTCGTCTCTGCAAACCCGCGGGTTCTCATCTACTCTGCCACCGCGGACTTTCGGCACGACAGCATACCGACCGCGGTACAAGCGCTACAGAACACCTCGGAATCTACCAACACTCTTTTTGATCACACGGAAGACAAGACCTTGTTCACCGATGATAATCTGGCGAATTACGACGCGTTGCTGTTTTTGATGAATACTGGGGAAGGTCAGGCTTTGTGTCATACCAAACTCCTCTCAAATGCTTTATTACTGACCAAGTACACGGATTCTCCTAGTTCTCGATCAGCAGGGTAAGGATGCTCTACAGAAATACCTCGACAAAGGCGGCAACTTCGTCGCGATCCATGCCGCGTCGGACGCGCTCCGAAACACCACTTTCTACGGCCATGAAGTGGGTTAGTGGAATACATATCACCTCCGTTGTCCATCTTTGAAACCGAGTTATCATCAGGAGCGTTCTTTGATTACCACCCAGAGCTGCAGAACGGGGTACGCTTTGTCCTCCGCAGCCTGAAGATACTTTCGTTGCACCGACACAAACGGTCTCACAGACGATAGACGTCATAGGTCCTTCCCACCCTAGCACGTCCATGCTCCCCGCACAATGGCACGTCCAGGAGGAATTCTACAACTTCAAGTCCGATCCGCGCGACGTCGGCGCGATCGTCATCCTGTCCGCCAACGACTCCAGCTACACCGACACCGGTACGCGCATGAACCAGGGCGCGCCGCATCCGACGGCATGGTATCAAGAGCACGGAGCAGGTACGTGCTCCTCCGTATCCCCTTCCGTCCCGTTCCCGCGTATGGTGGTATTGTTAGGCGTGCGCTGAGAGAGACTCTTTCCCAGGCGTCGAGAGCGGGGGCACGGCCGGCCGCAGCTTCTACACGAGCCTGGGACACCTCAACGCGACGTGGCACGACGAGCTCTTCATGGGGCATGTCACGGGCGGCATCGCGTGGGCTCTGCAGGCGAACACGACGAGGGCATTCAATGCGAGCGCCGCGGTCGGCAACGCGGCGGCCACGTCCTCGTCTTCTGCGACGCCCGGCTCTGGATCCAGCTCGGCCGTGTCGACGGCGGGGTCTTCTGCGCAGCCCACGTCCTCGTAAGCAGGCCTTATTTATCCCCTTCAGATCGCCATGACTAACTTGACTTGCAGCTCGGCGGCGCTTGGACTGTCCGTATGTTGGACAGCGCTCGCTGTCTATCCTCTGCTACACGGACTACTCGCATTTCTACCATAGTCGCTCTTTGACGAACCTCTTGCTGCACATGCCAATGGACAATCCAGATTGACTGCAGTGCTCCCCGTGCAACGCGCCGTAAAATGGCGAATTCTGCTTCCGCGCTCACGTGCCCGGACGTCAGGAAATCCCTCGCGTCTGATTGGCCCACCAGCTCCCTTCCTGACGTCACGCTGCGGGCACCGCCACCGATCCCTTCGATATTTGAGTTGACCGGGGGCGCGGGGCTGTCGGAGAGCCCGCATGCTACGGTTCGGGGCACGCCATCTTCTCACTGACCGCCGCGCCTATAAGATCCGCTTACACACCGCACGGTCGTATCTCTATCTTCAGCACCATCCTCTGAGTTCTAGTCCAACGTTGCGCGCGATGTCGACCCAAACGATCGCCGTTCTCGACGAGTCCGAGCTTAAGGATGGGCAATTGTTGGTCGACTCGTTGTGAGACGGGGAGATGAGCTGCGTTGGCTGACATGGATTCCGTATGACAGGAAGGAAGTCCCGTTCGGCGAAGGCAAGGTGTTGCTGTCGAGGCTGGGCGACACCGTGCACGCAACGTCCGCGTTCTGCACGCACTACGGCGCCCCGCTCGCTAAAGGTGTTCTTACCGCCGATGGACGCGTAGTATGGTGAGCGCCCAGGCCCGCTGCGGATTTATAGCAACTGCTAACCGTTCATGCACGTCAGTCCATGGCACGGAGGTGAGCACCCAACCTGTCCTTGGTCGCGTATCGTTCCTCTGACCCACCTCGATTCGCAGCGTGCTTCAATGTATGCACTGGGGACATTGAGGACGCACCCGCACCTACCGCCCTCCACTCGTTCAAGGCCACTATCAAAGATGGCAAGATCCACGTATCCGCCGACCCCAGCAAGACCAAGAAGGAGAACATGTCGCGACCGCCCAAGTAATTTCCTTCCGTCGAGTTCGTCGCAGAAGATTATAACCGACGTTTCACTCGTACAGATTGCTCGCCTCCGGCGCAGAAACATCAGAGAACCCTGTGGTCATCGTCGGTGGAGGAAGCGGTGCCTTCCACGCCGTCGAAAGCTTGCGCGAGGTAAACACTTGTAATCCTCTGGAGTGGGAGCAAAGGGCTCAATACTGCTGAATCTATTTATAGCACGGCTTCAAGGGTCCTATCACTATCCTCAGCAAGGAGACTTACGCGCCCATCGACCGGACTAAGCTCTCCAAAGCCCTCGTCACCGACCCATCCAAGCTCGAATGGCGCAGCGCTGCGGACCTCAAGATCAAGTACGGAACGATTCTCAGGACCGGCGTCGTAAGTTTTTTTTTTCGCGACCTCAATTCACAGTCGCATTGCCTAGGTGCTGATGTCGAGTAGGAGGTCACTTCGGTCGACTTTGCGAAAAAGAGCGTCGTCATCGGAAACGGACAAGAGAGCGTGAGCTATGGCACGTTGATCCTTGCCTCGGGAGGAACGTCCCGTCGGTTGCCCATCGAGGGCAAGGACTTCTCAAACGTGTTCACCCTCCGGGGGATCAACGACGCCAAGCAGATCGATGCAGGTACGTGTCTACCCAACCGCAACGTCGAAGGGAGGCTAATCGCCGTCGGCGGCGCAGCTGCCCAGGAGGGTAAGCGCCTCGTCGTGATCGGTAGCTCGTTCATCAGTATGGAGCTCGTCGTCGCGGTGTCGAAGCGCAAGCTGGCGTCCATCGATGTTATCGGCATGGAGGAGTACCCCTTCGAGGTGACTACAACCCGCCTCCTACTTATACTCGTCCCGGGATTCGTATTAACACGCATTGCAGGCGGTCCTCGGCAAAGAAATCGGCAAGGGGCTGAAGCAGGTGCGTGACTCTCCCATCTCGCTCGGCGCGTCAGTCGTGGTGCTGATGGCGCGCGATGTCAGTTCCACGAGTCGCAAGGCGTCAAGTTCCACATGCAGGTCAAGGTCGAAAAGATCGTGCCCGCTTCGGACGACCCGTCGAAGGCCGGAGGCGTTGTCGTCAACGGCCAGATCCTCCCCGCAGACCTCGTCGTGGTTCGTAGCGCTCTCCATCCCTCTGAGACCATCCCCAGTCGATCATGCTAATCTCCTGGTGACAGATGGGCGTCGGAGTGGCGCCCGCGACCGAGTACCTGAAGGCCTCCGGCCTGCCGCTCGAGCGCGACGGCTCCGTCGCCGTCGACGAGTTCCTCCGCGTGAAGGGCCAGCAGGACGTGTTCGCGATCGGCGACATCGCGACCTACCCGCAGATCAAGACGGGCGAGAGCCGGCGGATCGAGCACTGGAACGTGGCCGGCAACCACGGTCGCGCGGTGGGCAAGACGATCGCGATGCCCGGCGAGAAGCAGCCGTTCGTGAAGATCCCCGTGTTCTGGAGCGCCCGTGAGTGTGACGTCGCGATTCTGGTCATGGAGAACAGGGGCGGGGAAGGGCTGACTGTGACTTTGGCGATCGACAGAGGGCCAGCAACTGCGGTACTGTGGCGTCGGCGCAGGGTTCGAGGACGTGATCATCAAGGGCGACCCGGGCGAGATGAAGGTCGGTCTTGTCATTCGTTGCGGATGACTTGCGCTCGCTGATGCGCCGGTCCCAGTTCATCGCGTACTACGTGAAGGACAACACCATCGTCGCGGTCGCGACGATGCAGAACGATCCGGTCGTGAGCAAGGCGTCCGAGTTGCTCCGGCTCGGTTTGATGCCCTCGCCGCAGGAGGTGAAGGATGGCAAGGTGCGTCTAGGACCCGGAACAGCTCGTCGCAAGCCGCTGACGCAAATCAAATGCTACAGGACCTGCTGTCCATCGACATTTCCAGTGTCGCGGTCAAGGAGAAGGTGGCAAATACTGTGGCTTAGAAGGAGGCTCGGTTCCGATGTGTATAATAGACGCAAGCGCGCCGCGATGTAACAACAAAGCAGAATTCACTGTCAATCTGTATTCACAGCCATTCGTCTCCAACCCTTCCTCCCAAGACGTGTACTTTTCAACAGTTTGAGCGCGTACAGTAAGAATATGTTCAGGACAGAGCACGTAAACAGGCGATATCGACAACAAAGCGACCCTTCTACCCCAACAAGCTCCTAACGTATTTCATCAGGTCCCTGCTCCCCCGTTTCTTCACGTCGGCGATCATCGCGTTCACCGCGTCCACTTCCTCCTCTACCTCTTCCTGCCCTTCGTTCTGCCCCTCTTGCCCCGCGAGAACGGAAAGGGGAGCCCGCCGCCGCGCACGGTGGCCGAGGCCGTAGCGCGAGAGCACGGTCAGCACCGCGCGCCAGCCCTCCATCACGTCTTCTTTCGGTTTTGTCCCGGTCGCAGTGGCGTTAGCGGTGGTGTCGCTTGATGAGGTGGATGTGGAAAGCGAAGGCGAGGGAGGGGAGGGGAGGGTGGGAATGACCGTCGATCGCACGAGGTAGGGGCAGTACGAGCGGTGCTCCTTGAGCAGGTCGAACGGCCGTTGGTGCTGCTGTTGAGCGCGCGGCTTTGGGGTCGGCGGAGCGGAGTCGACGTCCATTGCAGCAGCACTGCTCGGAGGAAGAGGGGGAGGCTCTTTCTTGGGGATAAACGTCCACAGTCCGACGCGGCGTTGGCACAACTCGCAGAAGAGGGTCGCGTTTTCGGGTTTAGTGTAAGTACTACTCGTTCTCGCTCCGTAGGTGGACGAGAAGGGGTTGGGCGTGCCGGCCCGGGAGACGGAAGTCGAGGCCGATATGGAGGGCGTGGGCGAATCGTCGCCCATAGAGCGGAAAGAGGCGACGGAGGCGGAGCGTGAGAGGTTGACGAGGGAGGCGGAGGACGCAGATGGATAGTGCGAGGGGAAGCGCGATGTCGAGGTGGAGGGGGGTGGCGGTGGAGCGGGGGCCCAGCCAAAGAGGGCAGCGAGGGCGGCGGTGTCGGATGGTTCAGCAGAGGCGGGGGCAGGAGCGGGAGTAGGAGTGGGTGAGGGAGAGGCCGGTGGAGGAGAGGAAGCTGGTTCGGGGGTAGAGGAGCGCGAGGCGGAGGAGCCGGCTTGGGAGGCGGAGGTGGGCTGAAAAAGTGGCGGGACGGTCACAGAGGCCAACGTCTTTTGGAGCGCTGAAACCTGTGTTGAGGTCTAGTACAAGAGTTAGTGAGACTATGCGGGTAAAGATTACTGGAAGCTTACCAAGGGGTGACGGATTTGAAGGCCTTCAAGTAATGGCTCGAGTAAGAGCGCGCGGGATTTGACTTCGCGGGCCATGTATGCAGGAGGTTTGAGCGGTATGCGATATATCAAATCTGCACGCGAGTTCAGCCTCTATACTTGCAGGAGGACGTGAAGGAGACGCTGTATGCTCACCATCGCACTGACGCGTCTTCCACGGACATAAGTCCTTGTGCATCGACGCGAGCTGCAACCTCTGTTTCTCGACGAGCGCCGCGGCCGCATCCCGTGACAGACCTTCGCGACCAGCGACGACCCAGGACGCGCCGCAGAAGTCGCACACCAGCCGGTCCTTCGTCACGCCGTCGCTCGTCCAGCCGCGCTTCGCCGCGGCAACGGCGTCGATCGCAGGAGGCTTGTTGCCGTAGGTAGAGAGCTTGAAGGTGCCAAGACGGCGGATGAAGGAAGGCACGGAGGAGGGCGAGAACTCTTTCCCTGGAAGGGCGGTTGTTTGGCTGCTACTGGCGATGGCCGAGGCTTTCTTGCGACGCGACGCGGTGCGGGAGAGGATGGCGGAGAGGTGAGGAGCTTTTACGAGCGCCTCTGACTTGAGTGAGAGACTACTCGTCCTGTACAGGGCGTCAGCAAGGCATTTCAAGGAGTACATGGACCGCTGAACGCGACTGACGCAGCGCGCGGCTCTTTCGTCTTTATGCCATACTTGGCGAGAGTCGTGTATATCGACCGTGCACCATGATGGCGTTTTGAAGGCGGCGAGAGGTCGGAAGTCGAGGGCCCAATGGCCTCGTCGAGGGTGTGGATGGCGTCGGCGATCTTGCGCTGCACAGTGGGTTCGCGTATGAGCGACGGATGTCTAAGATGAAAGAGGCACGATGTACCTTGCGCGACGCGTCTGAGCTGGCCGGCTCATTCTGGGAGGTGGATGGTGTTGCGAGGGCGGCGGTGATGGAGCTCATGAGGACAGAGCGTCCGACGCCGTAGGCCTCAGGACTGAGGAGAGTAGAGAGGGAAGAGACGCCGGGTCGAGCTGTGTGGCGGTGACTCAATAAGGTCAAGCGCCCGCATGACCTCGAGCTTGTCAACGTTACGATTCACCAAGTCTGGGTTCATTACCGGAGGACGACACGTTCAAGACCAGCTTCAGACGCGCGCAGGATTTTATGGGTGCTGTGCGCTGAGCAGTAATAGCTCAGTCTTCTGTATATACTACCGCACCCGGGCCTGCACTCAGCTCTATGCGTCATCGGGTAAAAGTTCAAGTAGACCTATTCAGCGTTCTATAGGCTTCTGTTAGCGTTCTGTTGCTTTATATACGTCGGATCGCTATCGTGCACATTGTAGTACAATTTGTATCAATATGATGAACGAATGTCGTACCTCCGTCTTCCTCTGGATCCACCATCCACCGTCCACCAGTGTCCCACTCAAGCATATGCATCATCCTTCCTCCGCCACAGATGATGATCGAGCGCCATTCGCATCACCCACCACCAGATTTCGATCGCTACCGCGTTCGACCTCTATTCTTTCTTGTCCAGCTCCGGGCTCGCGTGTCTCGGCTCGGATTGAGCCAGAGTTGGTTCCCTGCATTTGCAGGATCGTGGAAGTCGAGAGGACGTTTGACGCGTCTACTCTATGATTGGGTTGAATGCCATCGCTACCGTCGTTACACAAGACAAGCTCAATTATGGGTTCCGGACAGGTACTGGGCTTTGACACCGTCTCGAGAACGGAATTTGAATGTAACGGGGCGTCTTGACGCGGGCCCGACGAAGGACCGGCGACCCGTCGACTGCCCATTGTTGACTCAAGGCCGAAGTGCTTGTATACATCCTCTGCATCGTCCCAATACGCGCCCCGCCAATTCCTGAAGTAGATGATTGCGGACGTGATATCTTCATTCGGGAATGAGCCGCGCCGGTGCGCCTCCAAAATAAACCTCGTGACCTTCCATGAACAGCCGGGTGCGAATTCTCGATGGCATTCCAGAAAACGGACGAGATTATACCAGTGAATTCTCAAGCCTCCTTCAGCACCATGCTCTCCGTCGCCAGGGTCGGTCCATAGCGATAGGGCGTCAATCAAGCAGTCACCAAACGCACTCATGGCCATGCGCCAGCGTTGGAACTTGAAGGATTCCGTGTAGCGCTGGGCTCGCGCGATCCCCTCATCTGCTTCTGTATTGGTGACGCACGACACCGCGGTCCAGAAGCGATCACGATGCACGTAAGCCGACCGAAACGCGGCACGGTCATAGCATGAACATGCAAGCTCAAGCATGTCAGTCATGTCTTTCAGCTCTGAAAACATTCAATCAGCCTTGCTTGTCGCCACAGGGAAGGTATGAATGCACCCCGGTAGATAAAACGTATTTTATCCCGAAAGCCATAGAATATAGCAGAAATATTCTCATTCGCGTCTGTCAGGTCGGACTCGTCGGACTTTGTAAGGTTTTTGAGCAAGAAATTGACGCATGGGACATGAGTACGATCATTTTGTGTCGCGATGAAGAGAATCATGACCAGCGATTTACTGTAGAGGTCGGAGGTATTCGTAATGGTGCTCATTGCATCGGGTAGGAGCGTATCGAGACCGGATCTGAGCAGTTCTGATATCAGTAGAACTTGTGTGTCGTTGAAGGATGTCAGCGAAGCGAAGGCATCACAAAGTTTCGCGTGGTTGATCTGGGAGGTTCCCTGGCCAAAGTCGTAGATGCACGCCTTGTCGAGTATATCGAGCGCCGGGATCGTAGGTCCGACGCATGGCATCCCGAACAGCTCCGAGATGGCCTTCCAGTACCCACGTATGCGCCGCTCCGGTTTTACAGGCCAAGAATTGTCAACCCGTTGGAGGGCAGAACGGGTGCGCACGCGCGGTCCTGGTGAAGCGGAGATGCATCGCGCGATCACATCGTCTCCGAGTTCCTCGTGTGAGGCAAGCCACAGCAGCGAGTGGAATTGATACGCGATGCTGCTCTCGGAATCACGTCCGAAGCACCGCAGTGCGAGATCGCGATGATCCCATCCGTCGAAAGCGTACATGTCCGGGACGGGATATCGACAATTCCAACAGTACTCTTTGATGGCTTTGAGCCGGTCTGGCCAGTTCCAGAGGTACAGGGAGGACACAAATGGTCTGATCATGCGGTAAAACGGTCGTAGAATAGGGCGTATCATCCATCCAAAAGGTGTCTTGTATGGACAAGTCTCGAAGAACAGCGGTAGTAGCACAGTCAGCGAGGCCAGGGATATGGTCAGGCCAGCGGCAGCGCAGCACACTCCGGATACGATGATATCAATAGGCCATAGAAGAGTGACGAGGCCACCGAAGAATAGTACGACTGCAAGCTGTAGTAGGCCAGGAACCAGCGTCACGATGGCGGGGACCTTCCACTTATGAAAGGCATCATAGCGGAACTTCCGAAGCTGTATGGCGTGCTGAACTGGAGAGATGTTTGGCCAAGCCATGTACTCGCGGAGCCACTGTTTCACGAATATGCCGAGCAGAGCGGAGGCGAGGGCGAGGATCAGACTCAGGAACCAGAGCATGTTGATCGCGACCACATGTGAATCGGCCTGAAAGGACATATTCAGCGGTTCGACAGACGCAGGGGCGGCTTGGTTCAAGGAGATCTGCTGGAGCTGGAGAGAAATGTTCGAGAGGAGTTGGACAGACAGCTGGGTGTTGTCCGGTTGCAACTGGGTGTAAACCTCAACCAGGAACGCGGTGAGGACCGCGGAAAATAGACCTGCCTGGAGTACACAGTGCCTTAGCAAGCGCGGGAACGGACGAACTGGATTACGCACAAAGATGAGGAGGTTGTCGATATCCTGGGAGTAGCCCTTAATCATTTCCTGATCATATAACCTTAGTCGGTCGTACACGTAGTCCCAGCCGGTGATATCAGTTTTTGACGGCTTGCTTTGCGCGGGCTGAAAGAGAGCCGTATTTGAGTGCTTGCATCATTGTTCAAGAATGCCCCGTCTTACCTTCGTGTACAAGTTGTGTGTCGATGGCGGATCGCCACGACTTCTCGCTCCGTTGCCGACGTTTGGAGCTTCCGAGCGTGGTTCGCCCACTACGGGCATGGCAGTTTCATCGGAAGCATCTCCTCCTTGGCTCGTGGACTGGCGATTGCCAGTGTTCGGCACCGATCCGTCCTACGACGAACATCTTAGCGACCTCCGCTTTGAGCTACACGGCCCTCCCGTCTCACATACGGCCCGGGTTCCTCATGGGGCCCGCGTCCTTCCTCAAAACTGGATAAATCGACGGAGTGTCGTCGCGACGTCATGATGTAAGAATGAATATGCGTAGAGTGGAGGGATCAGAGTGAGTGCAGCGCGCAGGCGGCGATAGTTGTCGTGTAGCTACAGCTCGAAGGCGGACTCAAGATGGCTTCTGATATATCTGATAGCTTATGGCGCACGCGTTCACAGCGTGTACTGAGGCAATACATCCCGAAAGCTAGAGCTCCAAAGCCTGATCCAGCACCCAAGAAGGACGCATGCGCACGCACGTACGTCGCATAACTCTGAAGTCTCATCGGAGAAAGGCAGGGTGACAAGTCGGCGGGGACGGGCAAGGATAGGCAAGGATGGGCATTCGTGAACGTATGGCGCACGGTCACCGTCACTGCTTTGCTCCCGGCATCACAATCAATTTTGCTTAGATCCTCTTCAACGCGTGCTATAACCACGAGTATGCTCGTTCAGATATTGGACTTTGAATGGGGATGGTTTATGTCGGACACTCGCCAGCGATGACACAGGGTTGACGTCGACACGCTCCTCCCTCGCACTGCGCCTGGAGATAGACCGCATCATGCCGCATACGGAGGATACCCAACCATGTCGATGGCACTGACTTCACTTTTCTGTGACCACTCTTGGTCCCGACCACGACCATGCTCATCCAACGACGAAGCCTGATCCTTTCCGTCAGCGCTGGCTCGTCCTCCCTCAAGGTCTTCTCTCCAAGCCCTCAGGATCCACTTTCTCGGACAATCTCGAATCTTCCATCGACAATCTCTCTTCTCTGCCCGTCCGCTTCACTCTGGAGCACGAAGACGCCTCTCCGTCCGACTCGTCCCAAGACGTCAAAAAATAACAGAAGGATGACATCAAAGACCACGCGTCCGCGTTCGCCTAGTAGACCATCTGGAGCATGGATCCGGCATCAAGAAAGGCGACCTCCAACAGGTCTACCACCGTGTCGACCACGGCGGCGGCTGCGCAGAGCCCGTCGCCATCTCCTCAAAGACGTACGACGACCGCGTCGAGAAGCTCACCGACCTCGCGCCTCTGTACGTTCCCTCCACCCGTTCTCTCTTTCATGCCTATCATGCTGATGCTGGAACTCGGACAGACACGACGGCACCGCCCTGGCCGTCATCCAAGCCTGCCTCAAATCCCTTCCAAACGCGCGCTCCATCGCCTCCTTCGACACCACCTTCCACTGCGCCCTCCCGGCCCACGTCTCCTCCTACGCCATCGACCCCTCCGTCGCCCGCCCGCGCAGCCTCAAGACATAGGGCTTCTACGGCATCTTCTGTAAGCCTACCCTCCCCTCTCTCTCCCACGTCTCTCTAACGTACCGCATAATATGCAGACGCCTACATCCTCCGCACCGTCTCCGCCCACGTCCGCAAACCACCCACGGGGGTCTCCAAAATCGCCCTCCACCTCGGCTCCGTCGCCTCCGCCTGCGCCATCCACGCCGGCCGCTCCATCGACACCTCCATGGGCCTCACCCCCGTGCACGGCCTCCCGGGTGCCACCCGCGCCGGCGCAATCGACCCCAGCCTCATCTTCCACTACACCAACACCGCCGGCCGCATCTCGCACGACCCCGCGCACGCGACGAACGCGGGCGTCACAGAGGCGGAGGAGATCTTGAACAAGAAGAGCGGGTGAAAGGCGATGACCGGTTCCGCGGACTTTAGGGAGATCGCGAAGCGGGATGCGGGCCGCATCGGCGAAAAGTCGGTGGAGCTCCGGGAACGCATCGCGGAGCGCGTGCGGTGTTTGGGATACAGGCCCGTGGATCCAACGAAGAACGCGGGTGTGGGGGATGCGGAGGGGGCGGTGGTGGATATCACGGCAGCGGAAGGAGGGGAAGGGGAAGGGGAAGGGAAGAGGGTGTTGGTGTGTAGGACGGACGAGCAGTACGAGATGGCGAGGGAGTGCGCTTTGGAGGATGAATTTTGGAAGTGAGGGCCTACGAGGTACGGGCGGTTGTGACACATGCTCCTCTTCGGTACGCTGATGTTTTCGTCGGGATAGATAAAGATCGTGCATGATATGGTACAGCGCGAAACCAATAACGATTAATTGAATTCGATACGTTTCGCGTCGAAGTCAGCTCCAACTACCGCGGAGACAAGCGTGTATGGTCCATACATCCTCGGACGGTCATGAAAACACGAACAAATACATGCTCCCGGTATCACTAACGACATCACTTGCTCAGACCTGCCCGACAGTCTATAGGTTATCACGTTCCAGGACAATCAATATGGGCGCTCCCGGGCTATCGTGCACAACGTCACCTTCCGCGCTTCATAGCAATAAACGGGCTTTCATACCTCGGATTCCCCCATGATACGTCCCGAGAACCCTGACCCTTCCTCCGCCCCAGGTGACGACTCGATGTCTCGTACGGCCCCCACCCCGGTGTCCTCGGCGCGATCGTGCTCGACGCCTGCCTGCATGAGAACGCTGTCCGTGATGCCCGCCTGTCCTCTACCGCCGTCCTGGCTCTCGACGCGAGACACCGGTCGATTTTGGCTCGACGACGGGACTCCGTCGTAGTGTGAAGTTCGATTCGAGATATCCTGCGTGTCCGAGGTATTGGGCGATGGAGGCGCGCTCGCACCTCCAACATCGCGCTCCATCTCCACACCAGTTTCTCCTGCAACAATCGACAAAGTGCTGCCCCGGGCACTGATATTCGGGCTTCCGAGGTGAATCTGTCCGCCATAAGGAAGCGAGTCGTCATCGACAACGCTCTGCTGTCCACCTCCGGGCTCCCCATTCGAGTGAGAGTCGGTCCGCTGCGCCTGCAGGCTCCCGGAAGTCGCGAGTGCGTTCGACGCGGCAGCCCTACGATCAGATCGCGTGCCATCATGACCATCGTCATCGGAGACGGTTTCATTGTTGAAGTCCGAATCGAGATGTGGCGTTGACTCCATGTTGCGAACGGAATGTGGATGTGGTAGCACTGACAGGGCGTCTTGGCGCGTATCCGACGAAGGACCGACGGCCCCTCCGCTGCCCGGTGTTGGGTCAACCCCGAAGTACTCACATACATCGTTTGCGTTGTCCCATCCCGCATCCCACCAATACTTCTCGCTGATGAATGCCTCCATTACCCTTCCATCCGAGAAGGACCCGCGCCGATGAGCTTCCAAAATCAACTTTGCGACCTTTTTTGGACAATCTGAGCCCGTGTCGCGATGGCGTCCCAGAAACGCGACAAGTTTTTTCCAGTCCACCCTCAAGTCTCTTTCAGCCAAATGGCCTCCGTCGCCAGGCTCGATCGATTGTGACAGTGCATCTACCAAGCATTCACCAAACGCACTCATACCGGTGCAACAGCGTTGGTCGTCCGCCCAACCGTGCCCCTCGAACCAAGTTTCCCATGCCTTCGTGATGCACGACACCGCAGCCCAGAAGCGACGACGGTGCTCCTGACTCGAACGAAACTTGGCACGGTCGTAACATAAACATGCAAGCTCAAGCATGTCAGCCATGTCTTTCGCATCTGCAACCATCCAGTCAGCCTTGCTATCGCCACATGAAGGCTATGCATGTACTCAAGGGGTAGAAAGGTATTATCTTTGTAAAGGCAGGAATTATAGCAGAAATCTTCGGAATCACCCTATCTATCCGGAAGGACCGTTTGGAGTTTGCCAGGTTTTCAAGAAGGAAGATGGCGCATGGGGAATGGAGACTGTCACTCTGTCCTGCGATCAACGTCATCATGATCAGCGAGTTGACGTAGAGGTAAGACCAGCTCTCGGCGAAATCATGCTTGAACATATCGAGACCGGACCGGAGAAGTTCAAATATGAGTAGAACTTGTGTGTCGTTGAAGGAATTCAGCGAATCGAAGGCACCATGCAAAAGTTGATCATAGGAGATATCATACGTTCCCTTGACATCGTCGTAGTTGCATTCCCTGTTGAGTACAACGAGCGCCGGGATAGTAGGTCCGACACATGGCGTCCCGAGCAGTTCACAGATGGCCCTCCAGCACCCATGGAGTCGGTACTGCGGCGACATCATAAAATCATCAGATTCAGCCAATGTTTTGAGAGCGGCACGGGTGCGCATGCGCGGTCCTGGTGCATCGGAGATGCATTGCGCAATCACACCGTCTCTGGGTTCCTCGTGTGAGGCAAGCCACAGCAGCGAGTGGAATTGTGACGCGATACTGCTCGCGGGATCACGTTCAAAGTGCCGCAATGCGAGATCACGATGATCCCATCCGTCGAAAGCGTAGCTATCGACATGGGGGGCCAAACGGCGATAGCGGAATCTCGGGGTAGGGTCCATCAACCCCAGGTCTTGCCGACGATCCCATTGCGCTCTCATTCTCCGCCGCATATAATTATCAAGGAGGCGATATAATGGTCGTAGAGTCGCCAATATCATCCAACAAAAGGGTGTCTTGTATGGACAAGTATCGAAAAAAAGTGGTAGCAGCACAGTTAGGGTTGCCAGGGATATGATCAGTCCAGCGGCAGCGCAGCACACCCCAGCTACGACGGTGTCAATGGGCCACAGTAGAGTGACGAGCCCGCCGAAGAAAAGCACGACCGCGAGCTGCAAAAGGCCAGGAACCAACGTCACGATAGTGGGGACCTTCCACCTCTGAAAGGCATCATAGCGGAACTTCCGAAGCTGTATGGCATGCTGAACGGGGGAGATATTCGGCCATGCCATGTACTCGCGAAGCCATTGCTTCACGAATATGCCGAGCAGAGCGGAGGCGAGCGCGAGGATGAGGCTGAGGAACCAAAGCGCGTTGATCGCGACCACGTGGGAATCGGCCTGAAAGGACATGTTCAGCGGATTGATAGACGCAGGGGCGGCTTGGTTCAGAGAGATCTGCTGCAGCTGGAGAGAAATATTCGAGAGCAGTTGGACGGAGAGCTGAGTGTTGTCCGGCTGCAACTGGGTGTACACTTCGATCAGGAACGCGGTGAGGACCGCAGAGAACAGACCAGCCTACCAACGCACGTCGCGTTAACAAGAGCGGTGATAGATGAAGAGAATAGCGCACGAAAATGAGGAGGTTATCGATATCCTCCGAGTATCCCTTGATCATCTCCAGATCATATATCTGCAGCCGCTTGTACACGTAGTCCCAGCCCGAGACATCTGATGTTGTCGGCTTGTCTTCCGCGGGCTGTCAAAGGGTCGCATTTCAGTAACTTACAGCTATCCAAGAATGTCGCCATTTACCTTCGCCTTAAGGTCGTCTGCGGATGGCGGGTCGTTACGATTGCCCGCTGCACCGCCGCCGTTTTGAGTTTCTGGACCTGGTTTGCCCACTACAGGCCTGGCCGCTTCATTACGAGCATCTCCTCCTTGGCTCGTGGATCGGCGATTGCCAATGTGTGGCACGTCCTACGGTAAAGAGGTCAGCGACCACTACTTGAACAGCACGGCCTAGATCTCGTCTCACATCCATCGGGGGTTCTTCTGGAGGCTCAGGCCCTCGTTCAGCGATGTTTAATACCGGGCTGGAGGGTGGTGGCGACGCCATGCGAGAAGGAGTTGAGCAGGTGTGGACGGTATCCGCAGAGAGAGGAGAGAACGGAGGGAGTGCGGCTCAGGCAGAGAAAGGCGTTTTGTAAGTAGCTCCAGGCAGTAGGCGCTCGAGCGCAGAGCGAAACTTCATATCGGCTCAAGATATTTTGCGGCGTAGGGCGTGTTGACAGCGTGTATGCACGATATCCTATATACGTATGTACTCATGAATGCATATGACCCGTTCCGTAGACGGATTCTTGTTCCAACTCAACTCAGGACCGAAGACGCACATCGCACACCTCTCAGCAGGAGAAGGACAAGTCGGCAAGGGCAAGTGTTCGTGACCCTTCGCCATTTGCTTTGCTCCCGAACGTTGTCCGAGGCGTTGACGGGCATCACATTTATCCGCTAATCACGTTGCTCTCGATACACGCCGAAGAACAACACCGTCCTTGACGGAACACGTTACTCAGCGTATCAACCATGCCGCAACAGTTCAGGTTTGTTGTGGGAACGACGTTGACGCGCTCTTATGGAGGCTATCGTACTTATCTTATCACGTCAACAACCGGGCCTTCACGTTGTCCACTGTGCAGACCGTCGACGACCGTACCTGCCCAAGATTTGATCGTCTCCGCCAATCCTCCCTCAAGATCTTCCTCGTCCAACATTCAGGCTCTTCCTCGGATTCAGACCCTCGTGGACTTTCTCCTTGAGCCTTCTGTCGACCGTCTCTCATCCTGGCCAGCACGCTTTACACCTGAATACGATGATACCTTTATCTCCAACTCCAGCCAAGACTTCGAGAATGAGCAGGAAGACAAGATCAAAGACCATGCGCCCGTCTTCTCTTCCTGGCCCACCTGGCGTTAGTTCTCGGGGCCAAGAGTAGTTCTGCCACCGCGTCGTACACGGCGACTGCTACTCCAAGTCTCTCGCCATCTCCTCCAAACCTACCACCACGTTAAGATGCTTGCCGACCTCGCGTGTTTGTACGTCTCCTTCCACCCTATTCCGAACGACGTGATATGCTGACGCTTTCATGTCGATAAACATAACGGCGCTAGCAGACCTTCAAGCCTGCCTCAGATCTCTGCCAATCGCACGCTCGATTGTCGACTTCGACAGGACCTTCCAACGTGCCCTCCCCGCCCGCGTCGCGTCGCACCCCATCAACCCTTCTATCGCCCGTCTACGCGGCCTTAAGAAACACGGCCTTCACGGAATCTCATGTACGTGCCTCCCCTCCCTCTGCCCTTCCCATTCATCTCATATCATACTACGCGATGCAGACATACATCCTCCACCCCGTCTCTACACTCTCCCGCCGCAAACCCCCTGCCATGTATCTCTCATTGCCACTATCTCGGCTCTGGCGCCCCCACCTGCGCTATCTGCGCCGGCCATTCCATCGACACCTCTATGGACATCACCCAGGCGCACGGCCTCCCGAACGCGATGAACGTGAGCCCGATCTTCTGTTGCATCAATACCGCCGGCCGCATCTTACACGATCCTGCTCACGCGACGAACGTGGGCGTGTCCGAACCGAAAGAGATCACGAGCAAGAAGAACGGGATGGAAGGCGACGACCTGCTCTGCGATCGAAGAGATATCGCAGACGGGACACGGACGAGAAGAGGTGAGATTGCGACGATATCATATGCTTGAGCTTGTAAACATGAAGTTGAAGATGCTGACCTTTTCCGTACGTCTGCAGGTGAGCCTTCGAACTGCTGGTGCACCGCATTTTGGCCTGCACCCCGGGGAAGCGTCGACGACGCGCTCGTCATCGCAGGTAGTGCGCGGGATTTGAGTTCGCGAGCCATCTACGAGGGAGGCTTGAGCAGTATGCGGTGGATCGAGTATGCACGCCAGTTGAGACTCTACATTCGCAGGAGGATGTAAAGGATGTAAAGGAGACGCTCATTGCTCACCATCGCACGGACGCGTCTTCCACGGACACGATTCCTTGTGCATTGACGCGTGCGGAAACCTCTGCTTCTCGACGAGCGCCTCCGCCGCGTCCCGAGAAAGACCCTTGCGCCCCACGACAACCCGGGACGCCCCGCGGGAGTCGCACACCAGCCAGTTCTTCGTTACGCCGTCGCTTGTTCAGCCGCGCTTTGCGGCGGCGCGTCAGTTCCAGGAGGCTTCTTGCCGTAGATCGAGCACTTGAGGTATGCGGAGGAGGGCGAGAACTGTATCCTCGGCAGGGATGTTTTGTTGGGCTGTTACTGGCGATGGACGCGGCTTTTCTTGAGACGCGACGCGGTGCGGGAGAGGATGGCGGAGAGGTGAGGAGCTTTTACGAGCGCCTCTCATTTGAGTGAGGGACTGCTAGTACTGTACAGGGCTTCTGGAAGACAGTCCAAAGAGTACATAGAATGCTGAACGCGACTAACGCGGTGCGCGTTTCTCTCGTCCTGATGCCGTACTTGGCGAGAGTCGTGTATATCGACCGTGCACCATGACGATGGTTCAAGGGCGGCGAGAGGTCGGAAGTCAAGGGGGCGATGGCCTCATCGAGGGTGTGGATAGCGTCGGCGATCGTGCGCTGCATGAGCAACGGATGTCTGAGGAGTCAGGACAGGAGAGGTGCGGCGTAGTTCAGTCTAAGAGGAGGATGGTGTTGCGAGGGCAGCTGTGATGGAGCTCATGAGGAAAAGGTATTTGACGTCGCAGGACTCCGCAGACGCTGCTGGAGAAGGGACAAACAAGCGCTGGTCGGATTGTGTGGAACAAGCTCAAGCGCCCGGATGACCTCTCGTTTCAATTCTTGCTTATCAACATTACCGGCTCAGCGTCAGGACTGGTATGGGAGAACGACACGGGCATGGTCAGCCTCAGATGCGCACAGGATTCGGTAGGTGCTGAACAACACCAGCGCAGCGCACGGTTATGCATGTAGGACTAAATGAGCATTCTGTCGCGCTATATATGCTCTCTTGCTATCGTGCATACTGTCGATACCACGAGATCAATTCGATGAACGAGTTTCAGACGGGCTCAACCTCCCTGTCCACCGGCCACCAACGTCCCGCTATTCATGTCCTCCTTCAGACGACGACCCTGCGCCCTCCGCGTGTCCCACCTCCAGATTTCGATTGCCGCCGCGTTTGACCTCTGCCTGCGCCGCAACGCTATTCTTGGCGCTATCCTGTTCGCCGCTACCGTCTTGGCGTTCGACGTGATGCGCCAGTGGATTTCTGCTCGACGTAGAGACTGAGTCGTAGGCTGGGATTCTATCCGGCGTATCCTCCGCATCCTGTCTGTCTGACGCAGGCCATGTCGGCGCGCTGGCACACTTGACGTCGCGCTTGATCTCACTACTCTGTCCCTCTGTAATAGTCGCTGAAGTGCTGCCTTCGGCCGTAATCATCTCCGGGGCTTCAAGGGGAATTCGTTCACCATGAGAAAGCGAGGGTTCGTCGGGAATGTTCTGCTTTCCAGTTCCGGGCTCGCGCGTCTCGACGCGGAGCGAGGCAGAGTCGGTTCCCGACGCTTGAAGGATTGTTGAAGTCGAGAGTACGTTTGACGTATCTACCCCATGATCGGGCGGTGTACCACCGCGATCGCTCTTGTACGAAGCGGCTTCGTTGACGGGTTCCGTACCGAGATGCGACTTAGATACGGATTTCCGACCAGAGTCCGAATGCAACAGGGCATCATGAAGCGGATCTGACGAAGGGCGGACCTCCCCTCCGTCGTCTAGTGTGGGCTGAATCTCGAAGTACTCGTATACATCATTTGCACTGTTCCAGCTGAGATCCCAAAAAGAACGCCAACTAATGAATGCACCCATGATGTTCTCATCCGCGAGGGAGTTGCGTCGGTGAGCCTCCAAAATGAGCTTCGCGACCTTTCTTGAGCAATCGGGGGCGGTGTCCGAATGGGATCCCAGAAAAGAGGCTAGATCATACCAGTCCACCCTCAAGTCGGCTGCAGCAACAGGGTGTCCATTGCCAGGCTCGGTCCATAGCGAGAGCGCCTCTACCAAACGGTCACCGAACACACCCATAGCCGTGCTCCAGCGTTGGGAGTCGTTCCAGCCTGTCCGTGCTTGGGTGACCACGGACACCGCCGCCCAGAATCGGAGACGATGCAATGGATCCGTCCGAAACGCGGCACGGTCATAGCATGAACATGCAAGCTCAAGCACGTCAGCCATTTCTTCCGGCTCTGCAAACATCCAGTCAGCCTTGCTATCGCCACAGGAAAGGTATGCATGCACCCAGCCAGATGTACAGCATGTGACTCCCAAGTGCGCGAATGAAGGCAAAAATCTTCTCATTTGCGCGGCTTGTCAGTGAGGACTGGTTGGAGTATGCGAGGGTTTTGAGAAGGAAGACGATGCATGGGTAATCGAAATAAGTATTCATTCTTGTAATGAAGGTCATCATGATCAGTGAGCTGGTGTAGAGGCCAAACCAACTGTCAATGTCGCTCATCGATTCACGGAGGAGCGTATCGAGACCAGACTTGAGTAGTTCAAATATGAGCGAAATTTGGGTGTCGTTGAAAGATGTCAGCAAATCGAAGGCATGCTGAAGTTTTTTGTAGTTGATTGCGACGGTTCCCTGGGCATCGTTGTATTTGCACTCCTTGTCGAGTACATCGAGCGCCGGGATTTTAGATCCGACACATGGCATCCCTAACAGCTCGGAGATGGCCTTCCAGTATGCACGCAGGCGTAGCTCCGGCGTTACAGGCCAAGAATCGTCATAATGTTGGAGGGCAGAACGGATGCGCACGCGCGGTCCTGGTGCATCGGAAATGCATTTCTTTATCACACCGTCTCTGGGTTCCTCATGTGAGGCAAGCCACAGCAGCGAGTGGATTTGAGTTGCGATGCTGCTCTCTGAGTCACGTCCAAAGCGTCGCAAGGCGAGATCGCGATGATCCCATCCGTCGAAAGCGAACATGTCGGGGACGGGATATTGGCAGGTATAACAGAAAGCTTCGATGGATCTGAGCCAGCGCGGCCAGTTCCAAGAGTATAGGGAGTACAGGAATGGTCTGATGAAGCGGTAAAACGGTCGTAGAATAGGGTGTATCATCCATCCGAACGGTGTCTTGTATGGACAAGTCTCGAAGAACAGCGGTAGTAGTACAGTCAGCGTCGCCAGGAATGTGGTCAGGCCAGCCGCAGCGCAGCACACTCCAGCCACGACGGTGTCGATGGGCCAAAGTAGAGTGACGAGACCGACGAAGAAAAGCACGACCGCGAGCTGCAAAAGGCCAGGAACCAACGTCACGATAGTGGGGACTTTCCAGTTTTGAAAGGCATCGTAGCGGAACTCCCGAAGCTGTATGGCGTGCTGAACGGGGGAGATGTTCGGCCATGCCATGTACTCGCGAAGCCATTGCTTCACGAATATGCCGAGGAGAGCGGAGGCGAGGGCGAGGATCAGGCTCAGGAACCAGAGCGTGTTGATCGCGACCACATGGGAATCGGCCTGAAAGGACATATTCAGCGGTTCGACAGACGCAGGGGCGGCTTGGTTCAAGGAGATCTGCTGGAGCTGGAGAGAAATATTCGAGAGGAGTTGGACAGACAGCTGGGTGTTGTCCGGCTGCAACTGAGTGTAGACCTCAACCAGGAACGCGGTGAGGACCGCAGAAAATAGACCTGCCTGGAGTGCACGCTGCCTTAGCAAGAGCGGGAACGGACGAACTGGATTACGCACAAAGATGAGGAGGTTGTCGATATCCTGGGAGTATCCCTTGATCATTTCCTGATCATATAACCGTAGTCGGTCGTACACGTAGTCCCAGCCGGTGACGTCAGATTTTGCCGGCTTGCTTTGCGCGGGCTGAAAGAGAGCCGTGTCTTAGTAACTTGCGGCATTGTTCAAGAATGCCATGTCTTACCTTCGTCTTTAGGTTGTGTGTAGATGGCGGGTCGTCACGATTTCCCGCTGCGTCGCTGATGTTGGGACCCTCTACGGGCATGGCAGTTTCATTGCGAGCATCTCCTTGGCTCGTGGACTGGCGATTGCCAGTGTTCGGCACCGATCCGTCCTACGACGAACATCTCAGCGACCTCCATTTCGAGCTACACGGCCCTCCCGTCTCACATACGGCCCGGGTTCCTCATGGAGCCCGCGTCCTTCTTCAAAATTGGATAAATCGATGGAGGGTCGTCGCGACGCCATGCAAGAACGGACTGAACACGTGTAAACGGCGCGGTATGCGTAGAGAGGAGAAAACAGAGTGTGCAGCGCGCAGGCGGTGGGAGTTGTCTTGTAGCTACAGGCAGTAGGCGCTCGGACGCGGAGCGAAGCCTGATATCAATCAGCTCAAGGTAGCTTCTGATATATCTGATAGCTTATGGCGCACGCGTCGACAGCGTGTACAAAGGCACTACATCCCGAGATCTAGAGCTTCAAAGCCTAGTCCAGGACCCAAGACGGACGCATGCGCATGCGCACCGCATAACTTTAGAGTCTCAGCTAGTCTCAGTCGAAGAAAGGCAAGATGACAAGTTGGGGGCAAGGACGGGCATTCGTGAACGTATGGCGCACGGGCACCGCCACTGCTTTGCTCCAGAACGTCGTCGACGCCTTCGGACTCGTTGACGAGCATCACCATCAATTTTGCTTGGATTTCTCCTCAACGCGCTACTGCCACGAATATGCTCGTCCACGGATATGCTCGTCCAGATATTGGATTTTGGGATCGCCAGCGCATGGGGATGGTTTATGTCGGATGCTCGCCGGCGATGACACAGGGCTGACGTCGACGCGCTCCTCCCTCGCACTGCGCCTGGAGATAGACCGCAACACGCCGCGCACGGAGAATATCAAACCATGTCGACCACACTTTACCGCCATCCTTTCCGTGATCACTCCTCTTGGTACCAACCACAACCACAACCATGCCCAACGACAAGGCCTGATCCTCTCCGTCAACGCCGGCTCGTCTTCCCTCAAGATCTCCCTCTTCAAGCCCTCGGGATCCTCTTCGTCGGACAAGGACCCCGTCGCGGACCTCCTCCTCGAATCCTCCATCGACGACCTCTCCTCCCCGCCCGCGCGCTTCACCCTCAAGCACGAAGACGCGTCTCCGTCCGACTCGTCCCAAGACGTTAAGAAAGAACAAAAGGATGACATCAAAGACCACGCGTCCGCGTTCTCGTACTTCCTAGGCCATCTGGAGCACGAATCCGGCATCAAGAAGGCGGACATCAAGCAGGTCTGCCACCGCGTCGTCCACGGCGGCGACTACGCAGAGCCCGTCACCATCTCCTCCGAGACCTACCACCATATCGAGAAGCTCACCGACCTCGCCCCTCTGTACGTTTCCTCTATATCTCCTTCTCTTTCGCGCCTTATCATGCTGACGCTTGGAACTCGGGACAGACACAACGGCGCCGCGCTAGCCGTCATCCAAGCCTGCCTCAAATCCCTCCCGAACGCGCGCTCGATCGCCTACTTCGACACCACCTTCCACCGCGCCCTCCCCGCCCACGTCTCCTCCTACGCCATCGACCCCTCCGTCGCCCGCCCACGCGGCCTCAAGAAATACGGCTTCCACGGTATTTCCTGTAAGCTTCTTCCTCCTCCCCTGTCCTCCTCTTCTACGTCTCTCTCACGTCCCACATAACACCCAGACGCCTACATCCTCCGCACCGTCTCCGCCCACCTCCGTCTCCATCATCGCCCTCCACCTCGGCTCCGGCGCCTCCGCCTGCGCCATCCACGTCGGCCGCTCCATCGACACCTCCATGGGCCTCACCCCGGTACACGGCCTGCCCGGCGCCACCCGCGCCGGCGCAATCGACCCCAGCCTCATCTTCCACTACGCCAACACCGCCGGCCGCATCTCGCACGACCCCGCGCACGCGACGAACGTGGGCGTGACGGAGGCGGAGGAGATCTTGAACAAGAAGAGCGGGTGGAAGGCGATGGCGGGATCCGCGGATTTTAGGGAGAGATCGCGAAAAGGGATACGGACGAAAAGAGGTGATTTTTTTAAAACCTCGATTTCACTCTCCTGGACGAAGAACTGCTGACGACGTTATGTGTAGGTTGGCCTTTGACTTGTTCGTGGACCGTATTGTCGGATACGTCGGCGCCTACTTCGTCGCGCTCCAGGGCAACGTCGACGCCCTCGTCTTCGCGGGCGGCATCGGCGAAAAGTCGGTCGAGCTCCGGGAACGCGTCGCGGAGCGTGTGCGGTGTTTGGGATTCAGGCCAGTGGATCCGAAGAAGAACGTGGGTGTGGGGGATGCGGAGGGGGCGGTGGTGGATATCACGGCAGCGGAAGGAGGGGAAGGGGAAGGGGAAGGGAAGAGGATGTTGGTGTGTAGGACGGACGAGCAGTACGAGATGGCGAGGGAGTGCGTTTTGGAGGATGAGTTCTGGAAGTGAGGGCCTACGAGGTACGGGCGGTTGTGACACATGCTCCTTCTCGGTACGCTGACGGTTTCGTCGGGATAGATAAAGATCGTGTATGATATGGTACAGCGCGACACCAATAACGATTAATTGAATTCGATACGCTTTCGTGTCGTTGTCAGCTCCAACTACCGCGGAGACAAGCCCGTATGATCCATACATCCTCGGACGGTCATGAAAACACGAACAATCCATGCTCCCGGTATTACTAATGACATCACTTGCTCAGACCTGCCCGACAGTCTATAGGTTATCACGTTCCAGGACATTCAATATGGGCGCTCCCGGGCTATCGTGCACAACATCACCTTCCGCGCTGCAAAGCAATAAACGGGTTTCTTACCTCGGATTCCCCCACACCAGTGTTACGTCCCGAGAACCCTGACCCTTCCCTGACCCTTCCTCCGCCCTAGGTGACGACTCGATGTCTCCTACGGCCCCTACCCCGGTGTCCTCGGCGCGATCGTGCTCGACGCCTGCCTGCATGAGAACGCTGTCCGTGATGCCCGCCTGTCCTCTACCGCCGTCCTGGCTCTCGACGCGAGACATCGGTCGATTTTGGCTCGATAACGGGACTCCGTCGTAGTGTGAAGTTCGATTCGAGGTATCCTGCGTGTCCGAGGTATTGGGCAATGGAGGCGCGCTCGCACCTCCGACGTCGCGCTCCATCTCCACACCAGTTTCTCCTGCAACAATTGACAAAGTGCTGTCCCGGGCACTGATCTTCGGGCTTTCGAGGTGAATCTGTCCGCCATGAGGAAGCGAGTTGTCATCGACAATGCTCTGCTGTCCACCTCCAGGCTCCCCATTCGAGTGAGAGTCGGTCCGCTGCGCCTGCAGGCTCCCGGAAGTCGCGAGTGCGTTCGACGCGGCAGCCCTACGATCAGATCGCGTGCCATCGTGACCATCGTCATCGGAGACGGTTTCATCGTTGAAGTCCGAATCGAGATGTGACGTTGACTCCGTGTCGCGAACGGAATGTGGATGTGGTACTATCATTCCCACACTTGCTGGACACCCGGGGATTCTGGACACTCGAATCTTTTGCGTCCTCCCGTGGATTTCCTGAGCTCAAACTGGTGTAGATATGTTGTATCACATCTGATCTACTGTGCCGCGTTGAGAGCACGGAAATCAGTTGGGGAAAAGTAGCACGGTGAGCCTGGCAAGTCCCAGAATCATGCTACGCCGCCGGTAATCCCGCCGTTCCTGCTTTTATACCAATGCCTTGTACATGTTACCTCCCAGAGTACATTGCTTGATGTATCAATGAGTGCAGACTGCAATAAAATTGGATGTTAGGGTGTTTCCGAAATGGAAAGCCGGGTCTCAAGACACGCGCGGGAGCAGACAGGACGTGCATTCC